CTTTGCCCAATCCCTACTCATCCTTTCAGACTTGGCCCTGGTGTCCTTCCTCTGATCTCCAAGGAAGGCTTTCCTCACCCTGTTGTCTTCTGCCCAAGTCCTCATCGCACAGTATGGCAATTGTCTGTTTACTTGTCTTCTGCTCCACTCCTGGCTATAAGCTTACTCAGAATGAGCACTCCCCTTAGTCCTCTACTTCCCAGATGCCTGGCACACAGAAAGAAGTCATTCAGTAATCATCAAAGTTGTCTCAATTGTTCTTCGGGTGTTCTGGTGTATTCTTAAAATTGCAGAAACTTGACCTTAGAGGAGACCTCAAAAGACCACTGCTCAATTCTTCAAACACTTCCACTGTGCCTCTCAAAGGCCAATAGCCAACCTCTGCTTGATACCTTCCAGGTACAGGTTGCTCACTGTCTTATGAAATAACTCATGTTTCCTTGGCCTCTGACCATCACGACAATTTACCTTATGTGGAGCCTAAACCCATCTCCCTGTAGCTTCTGACTTTTTTGGTCCTTGTTCTTTTCCTTGTGACCACACGAACAAACCTAATTCCTTTTCTTCAAGACAATTCTCTGCAGAGTTGAATCCAGGTGTATTGATCTCTCTTAAAGAGAGATCTTACCTCCCTTGTTCAGGTACATATCCCGCACTTCCTCCAACATTCCCAAAAGGAAATGGCTTTGAATTTCTTCACATCCTCATCATCCTTATGCTTATTCTTCTCCAGACACTCTCTACTTTTATTTATTAACAAACTTTTAAGTGTACACTACATTATTGTTAGTCAGAATTTACTAATCTTGTATAACTTAAACTTTAGGCCTGTTGATTAGAAATCCCTCCTTCAACCTCCTCCCCAACCCCTGGCTTTCTGATTCTATGAGTTTGACTGTTTTACATACCTCATTTCAGTGGAATCACGTGGGCTTTGTCCTTTGGGGACTGGCTTATTTCACTTAGCACAGTGACCTCAAGGCTCAGCCATGTTGTGGCATGCGGCAGTGTATCCTTTTTTTAAAGGCTGAATAATGTTCAAGGAATGCCTTTTTCCTTATTTCCTTTTAAAAGTGTGGCTCCCAGAACTTTTCACCAGGCTCTGCGGTTCCCTAACCTGTGTAGAGAGTGAGATTATCCCCTTCTTGATTGATTATCACTTTCACCAGGCTTCATTCCCCTACAGAGCTAGAAGTTATCTAAAACTGGGGCCTTTTCTCTTGTTCTCCTGTTTAAGCAGTGCCTATTCCTTACTGAGCTCAAGCACTTGTATTTTTCCCTCAGAGTAGGATGTTACCGCTTTCCCAACTGAATCTCATTTTGCTATGCTTGGTCTGTCTATCCATCCAGCCTTCTGAGGGCTTTTCGGATCCTGATTCTTTATCTGAATTATCCTTGGCTTTTCCTAGTTTCTTCTTCTGGGTAAGATACAATAAGCCTGGCTGCTAAGTCCGTATCCAAGGCATTGACAAAGGCCTCGGCTGAGACCAGGAAGAGGCCAGTGCTCTGCAGCAGGCCACCGGAGCTTCTCTGTAGGACTAGGGTATTCAAAATCTGGTCCCAAATGCACTGCACAGGAATCACCTGTGATAAATCATTTAAACAACACAGATTGCTGATTGCTCAGAAGTAGAATCAGCTTTGATAGAAGTGGGGCCCAGGCACCTGTATTTTTAATAAGCACTCAGATAATCTCAATGTGCAGCCAAGCATGGGAATCATCAACTCCAGATTTCACTGCATTCAAAAGCCGGAACAAATCCCAGCATGATTTGATCCCAAGTTGACATCTAAGGTGTCCAACCTGATGAGACAGGGGCAGAGCCATGACAGAGCATTGCCTGGTTCTGTGAATGTGGTCAGTCTACCCTGCCACACACCCATCTGTACAAGTGCTACATGATTGCTACATATCATTCTCTGCTCTTTTCCCCCTCTACCCCCTCTGCTCTTAGCTTCCCTCTCTGGCTCTGTGTCTTAGATTTTGGAACCACATTTGAGCTCTTCTGGCCCACTCCAGTTCACTGGTCCTGACTTTCCATGGGTACTTTTTGGAGAGCTCTGGTTTGGCCTCCCCAATGGCTGCTGGAGTGACTCCTCTTCTCACCCTGATACATTGAAACAGCAACTCTCAGGTATAAATTAGTCCTCATTTAATATATTGTCCACATCCGCTGGCTTCTCCAGGCTAGGATCTTATTCAGATTTGCATTATTTTCACATTAATTTTGTTCTCACTGTATCTACATTGCCCAATGTACAATGTGCTGGGGTTGGTGCATAGTAGGTTCTTATTAAATTTTTTCTGTCTGACAGCAGAATTCTTTAGTCTGATGCACTAACTGGAATTAGTGAAAATACCACAGGCTTCCAAGTAAGACAGACTTGAGTTTGCACCTCAGGCCCACCATTTTTTAGCTATATGGCCTTACACAAGATAATTAACCTTTATGAGCATACGGCATCACAACAGAAAATGACAAGTGTGGGCTAGATGTCTAAGGACACTTTTAGCTCTCACATTGTATGAATAAGTCACAGACCCACCCTTTCTATGGCTACCTTATGCCGGGGTCCCCAGAAGGTAATTCTTTGCAGTCAAATTGTGCTTTTCAAATCAAGCGGTTGGAATTCTCTTCTCCCAGCAGCACGTGGCAGGCTGTCAGCACACCCTCATAAGCATAATCACTCCACAGGCATCCTCCAGCCCCCATTAATCAGCCAGTCCTGTCACTTTAATTCGGCAGCACTCCACCACTCACCTAAGTAATTAATCTGGCTTCTGCCCGTGAATTCCTTTCATCCACTTTTGTTTACCACTGTTGAAGGATTTTTTAATCAAAACAATTAAATATGCTAAATCTTCCCCAATTAGGAATGCATTAAAAATTAAAAGTGCTTGAACAGAAATGGTAGCAGAAGCCCTTTGCCTGGTTCTGAGTGCTGCTGCTTAGAACATCACTCCTTTCAGGCATTTTCCACTCGGGGCTGTTCAGAGACTGGTGTGCACAGAGTCACAGAGGGCTGTAGCTGAGGGGGCCTTGGAGACAAACCAGTGCAGCTGCCTCTCTGCATGCTGGGGAAGCTGAGGCCCAAGGAGATCATGGGCCCTTTTTAAGCTCATACAGGGTGTGAGTGATGGGGATTTTGTTCTGTGTTACTTTTTTAAAAAAAATTAATTTGAATATATTTAAGATATACAGCATGATGATTTGATATGCCAAGTGAAATGATTACTATAGTCACGCTAACAATTTACCTATTTTTTCAGGTAGTTACCATTTTTGTGTGTATGAGAGACCACCTAAAGACTACTCTCTTTGCAAATTTCCAGTATTCAATACATCATTGTTAACTGTAGTCCTCAGGCTGTCCATTGATTAGCTCTCTATACATTTTCAGTCCACAGAACTGCAACTTTGTTCCCTTTGACCAGCAATGCCCCCTTTCTACCTCCTGGTTCCTGATGACCACTGTTTTACTCTCTGCTTCTACATATATGACCTTTTAAGATTCCGCATAGAAATGAGATCATACAGTCTTTTTCTTTTTGTGTCCTGCTTATTTTCTTAGCATAATGTCCTCCAGGTTCATCCAGGTTGCTATAAATCTGTAAATGGCAGGGTCTCTTAGTTTTTTAAGGCTGAATGGTATTCAATTATATATATATATAATTATATATATTAACAATTTTTATCCTCTCAGCTGAGTGACTGAGATTTGAATTCAGATTTCTGACTTCTATGATTCTTCCCATCAGAAGCCCTGACCAAAGGACTCATGGCATTCATTTACTCTCTCTTTTGTTTCCTAAGCCAACCATTAGTCTGAAAATAGTTACTGCATTCCTCCATGGCAAATATTGCACTGCTCTGCTGACAAGAGAGTGGTGAGCAGGATAAAAGTCCTTGAACTCATACAGAGTGTGCAGTTTAATCAGGATGTAGGCAGGTAAAATTTGTTGCTGAACGCTCCCTTGAAAATATTCAATCTAATCCTCAACTCAATTGAATTATAGCCCTAAATGATTTTTTCTTTGTGATTGCCAGAATAATATAACTCATAATAATTATTATATAGTTGCAATTAATTAAAAGTAATGATATTTCAAAACACAAACTCCAATTCACAGTCTTCAGAAGACTTTAGCTGCAGAAAGAGTTGGACTCTGCAGCAGTGGTCAGTGTCTTGCTTGAATCTGTTTTTCTAGCTTTATCTTGCCAGGATGACCAAGGGATGGAAACCCAGCTCTGTTCACTTACAGGCTGTGGGACAAAGGCAAAATGACTTTACTGCTTTCAGAATTATGTTCCTTATCTGCAAAATTCAGGTTCCTCAGTGGGACAAATACAGAGACTGCTAATGTGGGACTCATAGTTCTCCTGGGGTTGGAAGGCAAGCAGACTGCCCTTGGGGAGAGCTCCATCTTCTCACAGCCCTGTGGTCTCTCCAGGGTGCAAAGAGATCATAGGCAAAAGGAACTGTGACAGCTCTGATCATTCAAGTGCAAATAAAGCATGTTGGTAGCTCTGAAGAAAGAGGAAATGATTCTGATCTAATCCAAAAATGCTTCATGGAGTAAATGACATTTGAATTGGAGCTTGAGTTGAATTGGAGCTTTCCAAAGTTTTTTGGAAAGATGGTGAAAGGGAGAGAGGTAGGGGCAACACATGCAAAACTGCAGAGTGAAAGTGGGCCAAGCACTGTGTTGGGCACAGGGGTATATGGAGATGAATGAGAACCACTGCCCCAGGGAGGCCCAAGGGAGAATGTGCAAAGAAAGGGACTAATGTTTTTGAGCAACCGGTATGTGTAATACATATTCCTTTTCATTTCAAGAATTACTTGGGCTGGAACCACACAGAAGAAAACATTAAAATTGGGCTAAAGTACTGGAATTGCAACTCAGATTTCTGAGACTCAAAAACCAAAGCAGCTTTTACTACTATTAACAGCATTTTAGAATCTCAGCATTTTTGGTTTCTATCTCTCTGCTGCAGATGTTACCTTTGAAGACATCCAGACATGCTTTGGAGCGTCTCTGGGCATTTCTTACCTGTTTTCACAGAGCCTAGACATTGGAGGAGGTTTATCAGGACAACGGTGTAAAAAACATGGAGGTGGTTTTTCTAGTAAGTATTTAGTTAAAAATCTCCTGAAAAGAAAGGCCGGACTTTTCCTTGGACACACACTCAGGACATGAAAATGATTCCACACCCCTATGTCCCCCATTGATTCCATTTCAGCCGATGGTCCAACTGCAGAGCTGCTAAATACACCAAGCTAATGAATGACCTGTGTTGGCTCTATTTTTGAATCAACCATGGGTTGAGATCACCTTAGAAATATTAGATTTTGTAGGGTGCATGCTCTTAGATTTTAAGCACTAGATAAAGGTCTAAGTAAGACCTAGGATGAAAGAAATGTGTAGATAGAACCTGGAAAATTGACTGTTGAGATAAAGGCCCATCAGGATATAGTTCAAAGAGAGGGAAGAAGTCCCTGAGAGGGGAGAATTTGGTTACCAGCTTCAAGCTAAAAAAATAAATATTAGAGAAAGATTATACAAGAATATTTTGTGATATTTCCTGAGCAAGTTGATATGTGTATTAATGTATTCATTCATTCATCATGCATGTATTGAGTATTTTTTTTAGGTGGGAGACAATGGAGAATGCAGGAATGATGAAACAGTTTATAGTGTAGTGGATGAGGTACATAGAAAACAGGTTTGAATTCTCCCATTTCATTAGGCTACTCATGTCTCAGGGCCTTAAGTCAAATGGTTTCTTCTCCCTGATGCCCTTCCCACCTCTCTCCATTTCCCTACAGAGACTCATTCACTTTTCTAGAAAACTCACTTTTTTTCCCAACCTGTCTCCCAGGCTCCTGTAGATCTATCTGACCACCTATTTCTTTGTACCCCTACTGTGCCCTATAGAGACATTTGCTGTTTAATTGGACCTATTTGGCATATGGCAGGCACTGTGTAAGCATTTAATATGTGAATGAATAAATGAATAAATTAATTATCATCTGAGAGGGTACGAATTATCATACTCTCTCCATCCTCCATGTTGGGCTGGGTGGTCCTCCCATTGTCTGCTTTAATCCAGAGTATGAGCCTGTTTCTAAGTATTTGTCCTATTCTTCTCCTTTGTCCTGTTAGTTAACCAAGCAAGGTAAAAGAATGGAGGATAGATCTTAGAAAAGCACATAAACTTTGCCCCAAATCTCATTAGTGATGCTTGCATACCCATTCTTTGTTTTTTTTTGGGAAATTAGCTAATGCATTTATCCTCTTGATAGATCCCAACAAAAGTAGCTTTGCTGTGGAAGATGTCATTTCTCGGGTGCGAGGTGGCAGTCCTGGCTGGGGTTTTGGCTTAGCTCACAACTCGAGCACCATTTCGTATCGTTCCTGGGGGAGGTCACTGAAGTATAGTCCTGCTGTTATTGATTTCGAGGTAAGTCTTTTTGCAGTTGAAGAAACTCTACGTCCGTGAGGAATGAAAGTGAAACAGACCAGATCCTTTCATATTTCTTATTATGAGCCCATCAAAGAACAAGATTAAATGTTAACGGCACACTGAACTGGTGGCCCTCCCCACGCCTGGCTCTAGGGAGTATGTGACTTCAGACCCAGGTTGTAGGGGAGCTGGGTTCAGAAGTGTAATATCTGGTCAGTGCCCTACTTTTACACTAGTAGTCCCAGGATTTCTTCAGACTTGGGTGACATTTAAAATAATAATAATTTTTATTTATACATACAAAACTTAAAAAAACACATCTGTTGAATTGGAGGTTGGCAAACTTTTTCTTGTGAAGAAGCAGGTAGTAAATATTCTAAGCCTTGTGGGCCATGTACAGTTTCTGTTATACCAGTTTCATTTCTTCTTCTTTTTTACAACTTTCTAAAATACAAAATAAAAATACACTTTAGGAAACAAAATAAAAATATGAAAACCACTCTGAGCTAAAAGTCCATACCAAAACCAGCGATGGGTTGAGTATAGTCCCAGACTGTAACTGCACTTCGCTGCCCCTGCCCCCAGTGATCCTCTGTCGTCACCCCAGTGGAGCCCTGGCAAGGACACGACTACTCCCACTGGGAAGGTTAGGAAGCTGGAGCTCCAGGTGCTCAAGTGATTTGTTTAAGATCTCAGTGCTCATAGGTGGTAGTACCTGGATCTCAGACCTATGGATTTCATATCCAGTTCTCATTTCCCTCTATCCTAGCACCTTCCTTAAAGCCACAATGATCACCTGGGGGCAATTTGGGGCCCATGGGGAAATTTAGTCATGTCGGAAGGCATTTATGATTGTCACAACTGGGAGCATACTAATGGCATCTAGTGGGTAGAGGCCAGAGGTGTTGCTAAACATCCCACGATGCAAGGGACAGTCTCCACCACAAACAAACATCTATCCCCAAATGGCAATAGTGTCAGCGTTGAGAAACCTTGCCTTAAATCCCTCGCCTCACAAATGGAGTAAAATAGCATTCATACTGAAAATAAGTAAGGGTTCTACCAGTTGTCAAACTACTTCTAGTCATATGCAAGAGTAATCCATTAAAAGAGAATTATACTGGGGGCTTTTAAATAAAATATTATTGTTTTCCTGCCAACCTTCTCCTCATCCTTGCCGATTTTATACATATAATTAAAATTCCAGGTGTAGATACATTTCTCTTCTTAAAATATATACCAGTAGTTAAACCTAAAAGCCTATTATAATACCCTGCTCTCTATGAAGAAAGAAGTCCAATGACTTAACCTGATTTTATTTCTTCTCCAATAAGAAATGGACCATTTTCTTACAACTGTAATTCACACGGATCTGAAAACTTATATCATCAAGATATTAGTGATTTGGGTAAAAACTGTAGAATTGATATCAGGAGTAATACATAACCTTTTGTGAGCAAGAGGTGAAATTTGCATTTGCCTTGAGCACACCTTCCAAGGGAAAGACTCATTAATGATTTGAAGACCAAATGCTGTCTCTTGGGAAAGAAAGTCTGGGCTTGGGGTGAGGAAGATATAGTTTGGTTCATGGCTTGGCAACTTTTGATGTGTAACCTTTGACAAGTTACTTAATTTTCCGATCCCCATTTTCTTGCTCTGTAACGTGGGGATAATAGAATGTTATGCCACAAGGTTGGGGAGAGAGAAAGGGAAACATCAGTTGCGGAAACAGGCTCACGGAGGATATGTGGGCTGGCCAAGGCTCCCGTCCAGTAAACAGCCGAGCCCACTGGAGCCGTGTGTGGCAGACTCTAACATCCACAACCACAGCCCATGTTACCCCCGAATAGTCTGCCTTCCATACATCACACTGCTGGTGGTTACAGAGCAAGGAGTGACACAGCTAGAGCTGCGCTGTAAAAAGAGAATGCTTACAGAGGTATGGAGGATGAGTCAAAGGAGAGAGAGACTGTAGACAAGGGGACGAGTTAGGGGGTTATGTGGAACCTGAAGATCAGAGTGGAAACAATTATTTGCTTGCACATCCCCAGAACATAGCAGTACTTATTTATGGTAGGTACTTTGAGTGAATGTAGCCACTGCGTTACCTGATGTGATGTTATGATGTTGTGTTATGTTATATATTGTTACATTATGTTAGGTTATTTTGTGTTGCCATATCACACTACTTACTTTCTCTGAATCCATTTTCTCATCTGTAAAATAGGAACAAGACCATTGCCAATATCTTTTCAAGCACTAACTCTCTGAGGTTCTTCTTCTCCACTCCTCCTCCCCCCTTTAAGTCCCCTGTAGCACTAAGCAGTGATCCTTTTCCCCTTATGGAGGATTCTAGGCGGGAGCAGTGAGAGATGTGAGATGGAGTGCTAAGCTTTGCTGAAAGGTCAAAGGGAAGTTGCCCAGGGGTCCTGGGCTTTCCCTGGAACTAAGAGCCACCTTAACCAGGGCTGCCCATTCTGCACTGACTTCTTATCAATGGGGCCATATTCCCTGAACTTCCAGTAAGTTGTGTTCTTCCCTTGGCTGGAGGCCCAGCCAGTCTTGACGTGACCAGCCGATGACCTCAGCCACAGCCCCTGACCACAGGCCAAGGTCTGTTTGCCGCAGGTCTTTCTGTACACATTTCCAGGAACCCATTCAAGGCCACTGAGGTGCCCCCCACCGACTGTGATTCTAGAGAAGTCAGATTGCTCCAGGCAATTCAGTCCTCTCCCTGAATTTCTCAATGACCTTGGCAAATGACTCCCTCTTAGGGCCTCAGGTGATTGTGCTATAAAATGAGACAACTGGAAAAGAGCTTTCATTTTCTGATTGTGTTAAAATATCCAGCATTATTAAGCATGCTGAAGGTAACCATACACACATGCAATTCTAAAAATATATACTTTTTTTACTATCATCATATCTAACTAATAAAAATGGTGCTTTATTTTATATTATTCTTCCCTTTGCAATGGTATGTCACATTCATTACTTCTTTAGATCCTCCTAGGAATTCTAGGAAATGAGTTATTATTTCCATTCTGTAGATAATGAGGCTCCAGTTTTGAGAGGGGCAGTTAAGCATCCTAGGCCACAAAGCTAGGAGCTGAGCAGCACTTATTTAGCTTTTACTATGTGACATCCATTGACTGTCATCCTCACAATAAATGTGGAAGGTAGGGCTCTTTTTCTTTCTTTTTTTTTAAGATTTTTAAAATTTATTTTTAGAGAGGGAAGGGAGGGAGAAAGAGAGAGAGAGGGAGGGAGAGAGAGAGAGAGAGAGAGTTAGAAGCATCAATGTGCGGTTGCTGGGGGCTGTGGCCTGCAACCCAGGCATGTGCCCTGACTGGGAATTGAACCTGCAATGCTTTGGTTTGCAGCCCGCACTCAATCCACTGAGCTATGCCAGCCAGGGCAGGGCTCTTTTTCTTACATTTCAGATGAGGAAGAGAGGCCCCATGTGTAATGTGATGGAGATCACACACCTGGAAGCAGTAGAGGTGGGATTCGAAGCCAGATTTCCTGCCTTCAGCATCCATTCCCTCTGCTACACCTACTATAGTACTCCCAACACAGATGGGCTGATTGTGTCCCCCAGGGGACATTTGGCAATGTCCAGGGACAGTTGTGGTTTTTACAGCTAGAGTGTGCTACTGGCATCTAGTAGGTAAAGGCCAGAGATGCTGCTAAACATCCTATAATGCATAGGAGTTGTAATAAAGAAGTGTCCAGCTGGAAATTTAGGAGTGCTGAGGCTGAGGAACCCTGGACTACTACAGTCTTCCTGGAATGGGTTGCCTCAAATGTAAATCACGCAGACCCTTCCCCATACACGTCACCACCCTGATACCATTAAGGGATGTGCTGAGCAATGACAACATAAGTACCTATCAAGGACTCTGTTCATTCCTATGTTGAAGGTTGACGGTCAACACACACACACATGCACACACAACACTTTTACACCCTTCCTAATTTCTAAAAGTGCCTGGAGAGGGCAGATGAGTTGACACAAATGGCGTTTGAGCTCTCTCTTACTCTGAGGTTGGGGGACCACACATTTTAGTTAAGGTTCAGAATGACTCTTGCACTGAATGGTGTGATCCTGAGCTGGTCACTCAAACACTCCTGAGCCTCCACTTCTTCATCTGGGGGCTGGGGCTGATTTAGTTCCTGCTTCCCAGAGTGGCTGGGGGGATCAAGTGCAGGGGGATGAAGTGGGGCATCTGGCTCTGTGCCTGTCCTGTAGCAGGCCTTTGAGGAGCTTGAGGGCCAGTTCTTGGGCTCTGGGAAACTGCACAGAGCCCAGGGAGGGACCCTCTGTTCTCTCTGCACCCACAGATGAAGCCTGTCCATGAGCTGCTGAGGCACACGACCCTGGGAGCCCTGGAGACCAAACGCCGGAACCTGCAACGGGCCTTGGATCAGTACCTGATGGAATTTAACCCCTGCCGCTGTGGGCCCTGCTTCAACAATGGGGTGCCCATCCTCGTGGGCACCAGCTGCAAGTGTCAGTGTCCCGTGGGTCGCAAGGGCTATGCCTGTGAGCAAATGGCGGAAGAGAGTAAGGCTCCTGCATCCTCACTCGGGTTCCAGCCTGGCCCAGCTCAGAGAGGCCAGCACGGAAAGGGCTTTGGGGTTCCCATTCTCTCTGTCCTATGCCCTCTGGCTCACTACTCTGGGACCCCACACACTGAGCTCTATGGATGACCCCACACTTAATGGTTCTTACCCTTCCTCTCTGTCATTTAGACCCCCTCTCAGATAAGGACTATTTTTTCTTACCAATGTGTATATGAATAGAACAATAATTCAATTTTGGGATACATTAGTTTCCCAGCACTGCTGTAACAAATTGCCTTAAGCTCAGTGGCTTAGAGCAACAGGAATTTATTGCCTCATTCTTCTGTAAGTTAGAAGTCCAAAATTCAAGTCTATGGGCTGGATTGCTTTCCGGAGGCTCTGAGGGAGAATCTGTTCCATGCCTCTCTCCCAGTCCCTGGTGGTTGTTGGCAATCCCTGGCATTCTTTGGCTTGGAGAGTCATTCCAGTCTTTGCCTGTCTTCATATGGTGTTCTCTGCTCCTTGTCCCTGTTTTTGCTTCTTATAAGAACACTAGTCATTACATCAGGGCCCGCCCTAATTCAGCAATAATTCATTTTAATGTGATTTAATCTGCTAAGTGCCTATTTCCAAAAAAAGTCACGTTCACAGGTGATGGGGGTTTGAACTTGAACATATCTTCTGAGGAGGCACAATTCAACTCACTATATGGTTAAGTAGTGGTCATTACAGTGCAAGGAGTTATGATGATAAACAAAGTGGGGCCAGTGAGGTTTAGACATTTATAGCTGAGCATGAACCAATTGATACCACGAAAGAAAGTTCTCAAACAAGGGTTAGGAATCTGTCTCCTTTACAGAGGAAGGAGTCTGGAGACCTGATGTGAATCCCAACTATGTCACTCACTTACTGTGAGACTGTTAATCACTTCTTTTTTCTGGGATTTGTCTTTCTCATTTAAGTTTTCTTTGAGCTTCAGGAATCTCTACACATGCCCCAATCCCTAAACTTCCAAGTTTCCATGCATACAAAACTGCTTATATATTACATAGAATAATGACAAAAACACGGGCTATCAAATCAGTGTATGAAGAAAGGTTTTAAAAAAAGTCTGGATAGGTGTATCTAAGGTTCTACTCTTCAGTCCGTAAAACAAACTGTTGAAGCACAGGGAAGATGGGATGGAGCCTGGTTTTTAAATGAGATGATGTTGGGTTATAACTTCCTCATCGGGAAGCAGGATAGCACAGCTCGGGGGTCAACTAGGCCTTTGAAACCCAATGCTGCCAGTTTTTCATCTGGGAATCCCCTGTGAAATTAAGATAATATCAGTATGTTCATGACAGGTTGTGCTGAGGATTAAACTAGCCAACACATGTGGCAGGCTATATTTTAAATAAGAGGAAGAGAGAGCTTCATTGGTAGAGGTCTGTCTTGGGTTGGTGCCTGGTTTAAATCACTCCTGTGATGGCCGAAGGTGTACAGATTGAAGCCCAACAAGCTGCCAGTTATTGTGTAGGAGAAATCCTGAGAGGGGTAAGTCACAATGGTAAGTGAATTCCAGAGTCTTTATGAAGAAGTAAATCAAGAATAAAAATCAAGAAGACCAATTACCATGGCCAAACCTGATACAGTTTCCTCATGTGAAATGGAAAAAGGTACTGCCTGACAGGTGGGGAAATGAAAGGAACAAAGAAAACCAACCACTCAGGGCCAATATTGCCCTGCTCCCAGGCCCAAGGATTTCTTGACTTTTCAAGCAGAGTGTGGATGGGATTTCAGCCCCCACTTGCTTTAGTGGCCAGGCAGCTCTCCCAGAGGGACCAAAGGTCAATGAGGAGAAAGAATAACTCACTCTTATTCTATGCCAGCTCTCTCACAACACTTCATGTGCATGAACTATTTATTCCCCCCAGGATATTATGAGATAAATATTATTATTAGCCCCACTTTACAGATGAGGAAACTGGGGCAGGAGGAAGATGAGATAACTTTCTCAATGTCATCTAGCTGGGGCGTTTCAGAGCTATAATTTGGAACCAAGTGGTCAGATGCTAGGACCCAAGCTCTTAACTGCTCCATTCTACTGATTTACATCCTAAGAGTCAGGAAATTTGGGGAATGAAGGCAGAGATTCTGAGATGATTACATTGACTACCATTTTGAGGAATGAGAAGGAAGGGTATGTCCCTGTTCATAGTTATCAGCCTGACTTGGCTTAAAGGGACAAACGTGAGCTCTGCCTGGGTAAGTATAATTATAGCATGACAAGGGCCCTGAGAATCAGTGACTTACTTGGATCCTTGTCCACACAGCATAGACACAGAACAGGGGGTGAGAACTACCTAGACATGCCTTTTCAGTGGTCCGTGCTGAGTCGTATGTACATACACACAATGGGCATTGGAGAAGGGGGGCATGATGCCAATGCTATGGGGGTGGAGGCAGGGCATGAAGGGCTGGGTCCTCCTCCTCACAGCCCCATTCCTCCTGCAGTTACATTCGGTCGGTTGTAGGAAGCTCATGGTGTTCCACTGACCTTGTACCAAATAGGCTGTGGACATCAGGGGGCCTTGGGGCTATCAGACTAGTATTTCAACCAGACAGAGATCTATCTGGAAAAAAAATCTAAGGCTGAGAAGTCAGCCACAATGGAGACCCTACGATGTAGGTCCCTAGGGATTTTCCCAGCAAACCTTTGCCTCTGAGTCACAGAGGTGAGAGAAACAGAGACAGAGAACCTGCTGTGGCTGCCCCACCAGGGGGTATAATTACAGAGCTGGAAGGAACTTGAAGATAATGTAATCCAATGATTTTCACACTGGGATCTGAGGAAACTGGGGGTTTTAGGGGCTGCCCAGGGAACTGAGGTGAGCCTGATAGATACTGCAGCTTCAAATAGAACAGTTCCACTCTCATTTGACTTCTATGTTGGGGCCCATGCAAGATTTCATTTTAGAAAAAATAATGAAAAAATAATAATGCTGGAAAAACCCTACCGGATTAGTCTACCCTTTTCATTTTACAGAGGTAAAAACTCAGGCTGAGAGAGAGAGATGAGCTTGCACAAAGACATGGAGCCAGGAGGAGGCAGCAGCCCCAGGCTGGGGGATCATATGAGCTGGGTTTCCAGAGGCACATGGTCAGTGCATGTTCTGATGCTCTGTGCAGAGAATCTGTCACCCACCCTGGCCCCACTGTCAGAGTCTGAGGGGCTATGATTTGCAAGCCCTGATTCAAAAGTCTAGCAATTCTCTCTACAGGGGTGTGTGTGAACCCCCAGCTGGGTTGTGCTCCCTATTCCTCTCACCCTCTAGTGGCTGCATCTTTCTTCCAGAGGGACACATCTCCCTGCCTTACTCTGCTCTCCATCTTCCATACAGACTTCCATACAGAACCACAGACTCTAATGTCATGAGATGGGCTCTTTTCACTCCATCCAGAGTTTCAAATTAAGTGCTAGGTGGAGAGCATAGGTCTTGGTTGGCTACACCAAGGCATTCCTCATGGAGGGATTGTGGACCACTCTAGGGCAACAGGTAGTCCTCCCTCCATACTGTCTGAGCTGCTTCTTATATGTTAACTTCCTTCTCCCCTTTGAAATGATCTATGCAGGAGCCAAGGCGGAGGGTCACTGGAGCTGCTGGAGCTCCTGGTCTGCTTGCAGATCAGGCACTCAGGAAAGGAGGAGAGAGTGCAACAACCCCCCACCCAAGAATGGAGGCACCCCGTGTCCAGGGCGGGCAGTGCAGACCCAGGCTTGCTGAAGACCTCTGGGCACAGGCTGGGACATATGCAACGGATGCCACCACCTGTAATACCATGGGACAGTGACTTCTTGCAGCTGAGAGGAAATGCCAATCAATGTGGATTTCTTTGTCCTGCCAGCTCCCAAGCCTAAGACCAGGCTATGACATCTACAACCAACTGTTTTATTCCCCACAAAATTCAGCCATCCACCAACCAGGTGTTGAGTGTTAACCAGAATCTTGATCCTGCTCACAGCACTTTGGGTCATAAAAAAAAAAAAGAAAAAGAAAAAAAAAAGAGAAATCTCAACCCATGTCTTAGAGAAGGTTAGAGATACAAAGCAGGCAGATGCTCTGGAAACAATCAATGGCCAATAAGATGAAGTATGATGAGAATTATCTTGGTTCTTTGATAATAATATTTGTTCAATCATAGAAGGATTATTAGTAAGATAAGTGGATAATGAAATAATGAGAAAAAAATTAAAGATTAACGAGTTCCTTCAATTTTTCTTCATTTTGACTCAACATTTTCTTCTATTCCTTCAATTAATCTCTTGTTTGCTTAAGTTCTTACCACAAATATCACGTTTCTCCCAATTATTTTCTCACACTAGTCTCTTCCTTCATCGAGTTTTTAGCAATTAGTAATTACATAGTGGTGCCCACATCTCCTGTGACTGTAATATGACCCATCTCCCAACCTGAGGGTGGGGATTAGCTTTGTTTGGCTCAGCACTGTGTCTGCAGAGGCGAGGGCTGCGCCTTGAGTTGGGAGGGACCCAACAAGCATCTGTGCATGAAGTGAGGTACTGAGCTCAAGAGACAGTTCAAAGATGGGGTCCATATTGGTCAGGCTCCCAGACCGGAGCACAGATTGGAGGGGTGGGCCAATAATGATCAGCACACCTTCCCTGACACACCTGCCTGCCTCAGTATCCCACAGCATCCTACTCATGTGTTGTGTTGCACCGACTTTTCGGTTTACCCATAAGTTTCTCCCCCAGTCTATGAGCTCCTTAACAGTAGAAGTTGTATTCTCAGACAGTACAAGAAACATGTTGACTGATTATATATATAATTATTTTCCCTATCTGTCCAGAATCGTCAATCTTTTTAGTGTAATAATAAAGCCGACATAGGCATGATACAATTAGCAGGGGTTTCAGGGACACAGGAAACCAATTGCTGAGTGAATGATGCTGAAATATGAGGCACCCAAAGTGCCAGGGAAAGCCAGGTGGGAGAAGACTGGTCTTTTTGTCTGCGTTTTATATACGGAATGGGGCTTGACCCTGACCTTGAAGGATTTTTGAATGAGGCAAAGAGGGAGGGGACCTTTAAGACAGAAATTCAGCATGTGACAAAGTTTGAAGTTAAGAGGCACACTGGGGGTGTGCGTAGGTGTAGGTGTTGGGAATGGGGAATGGGGAAGATGGTGAATGTAAATAAAATAACATAAAATACTTAAAACAATGCCTGTCTCATACAAAATTATTGGCATCACCCTTAATATTGTTGTTGCTATTATTAATTAAAACTTATAGTTTAAAAGTTTATTTCTGAGCTCTTTGGATTTTCTAACTGAAAGAAGGGGGGGGAAGAAGATGCCCTTATTGCTTCTCATCCTGTCTTTAATTTACATTTTAGGTTAATTTACACTAATGATTAATTTCCATTCATGATCTACTGGGGAGTGAGGGTTATGTGCTGGAGTGTGATGGGAGGCCAGACTGGCCAGGCCGACTGGGCGGTTTTCAGAGGGCACTCGAGCTTGATCCAAAAGTGGTAGCTCTCAATCTTGGTTGCACATCAGAATCACTGGAGAGTTTGTTTTTTTTTTAAGTGCTGTCCAGAGGTTGCACCCTAGACTAATTAAATCCAAATCTTTGGAGGTGGGACCCAGACACCAATAGTTTTATTAAAAGCTGCTCAGGTGATTCTAATTCAGCGAGAGTTGAGAACCTTTGAGAGTCAAGGAGTCATTACATGTGGGGGAGAGGGGGTATGTGACCAAGCAAAACGGCAGCACAGTAAGGTTTGTCTGTGTTAATTTATGTAGTCTTTTAAAGGACCCCTTAAGATTTAAAACGGAGGCCCATTTTACAGCTAATAAAACTGAGTCTCGGCAAGGCTGAACCTTATGGGTCACACATCTGGCCTGGCTGGCCAGGGTTTCAATGTAGTACATCAAGCACAGGCTCCCCTACCCTTTGCTCTGTGCTGTCTACCAGTGGAGGGACTTGTAGGATGGTTGGTGTGTTGGGCACAGGGGAAAGGAAAGAAACCAGAGGCAAGGAAGCCCCTTAGGAGGTAAGTGCAGGAATTTAGGTGGCAGATGAGAACTTTGGGATTAAGCCATTGCCTGGATCACTTGTGAGTCAAGGCTACCTAATCTGTCACCTGAGTCAGAAAACTAAGGCCAGTACCTCTCTCCCTCCTCTGAAGATGCTGCATCTCCCAGCAGTTTTGGAAATTAAAATACAGCAGGAGTGGCAGTTTCAGAAGCAGCAGCCCTTCACTGGACCTGCGCCTTTCCCTCTTCGAGAATGCCCAGCTCTCTCCAAGCAAAAGGCAAAACACTCTTCAGATGTGTTCTCCCTGAGGTCCTTTCAGGAGACCTATAATCTAAGGTTTTATAGGTAGTGGATGTAAAAACATGCTTTAAAGATATAATCTTCGGCTTGACAAGGCACCTTTTGAAAAGTAAATTAATGATAGAATGAAAAGCAATAAAGAGATGCCTTTTCCTCTTTTTTCCCCCCTTTGAGATAGAGGAAGATCTAAAGCGTTCATCACTCAATGAATCTCTTCTGAACTATGTGCCTTTAGGGTGAAGAAAATGGACAGAGAGAAAGGGTGGGTTTCCAAAAGCACAGTGCAGGGGCTGCAGTACAGATTAGCAAAGGGCCCTTGTTTTCCATGAGGACAATGGAGGCTGCTCCCCCTTCACTTGGGAGTGGGTGAGCTCCTGTGCCAGGCCCCGTGCTGGGTGCTGGAGGCACAGAAATGAATCAGACATGGTCCGTGGCCCTGGAAGAATGCTAGGTCGGGGGAGGCTTGTGAACAATGGCAGGAGGGTTTTCTACCAGTGGAAAGCCCAGGAGCTGTGGGGGCAGGGAAGGCAGCCTGGAGGAGGAGAGGAGGGCCAGAGGAGATGAGGAAATGAGCAGGAGGTAGACAAGCAGAGGAAGGTGAAAGAGAAGCAGGAAGGTACAGAGGGAATAACATGTATAAAGTCACAGAAGGGGGAAACATGAGGAGGAGGGTTGGGGGCAGTCACTGCGCAGCTCCTGGAATGGGCCCTGGCCATTCTCAGGCTGGGACAGCTGAGTCTGGACGTTGGGTTTGGTCACTGAGGGCATCTGCTGCTTGGTCCTGGGCAGATTTACACACACAGACACTTTCCAGTCATTCCCCTGTTCACCTCAGGTGTCCCGGTGGTTCAACACCCCACAGTCATTGTTACAAAGCCCGTGCATTTTGAACTGAAGTCACAGGGTTCTCTCTGACCTGACACAATGTACAGCTCCATCTTCACCCCCCATTTCAGACTCTGAGCCAATGTACTAAAAATCTGTCATCCCTAATATGACATACAAAGCCTTGTAATTACTAGTCCTTGACTCTCTCTGGCTTCATTTCCTTCCATTGACTCTTCCCTCAGTCATGCTGCTCCAACCACTCAAGTGTTTGGCCTGTTCCTCACACGTGCTGAGTTCTCCCATGCCTCAGGACCTTTGCACTTGCTGTCCCCTCTGTCTGAAATGCTCATCCCCTAAATGAGCTCACCCAAGACTCACTCCTTTATTTCATTCAAGTCTCTGCTCAAATATTAACCCTCCAAAGACTTGACCCTCACTTACTTTTCTTGTATGGCACTTATCACTACCTGAGATTATAGTTTTGTTTATTTCCTCTCCACCTTGGTATGCCTCTGCCATTAATATGCATTTTTTTTTCGTGGCTAGACCCCCATTACCTAGAATAGTATTTGGCTTTGATAGGATTCCAATAAATATTTGTTGAATGAATGAACTCTTTCCAATTTAGTTCCCTAAATAGGTTAGGCATTTTGTTCCCTCCAGGCTGTTGCACATGCTACAGGGAAGCATCCCCAGTTGCCAGCTCCTCCCTTTTCCTGTCCATTTACCCATAAAGCCAGCATGGACCTCTTCCATTCTCCCACCCTTCCTCAGGTGATACCCCTCACACGGCTCTGTATTCCAGCATTTTATATCCTCTATCACTGTGGCCGAGTTGTCTGTCCCCCAACCCTGTGACTTCTGGCAGGCTGAATGAGGTCTCACTTTTACTTTTGGAGCCCCAGCCCCTACCATAGTGTTTGGAGCTTCCCAGTAAAAGTCTGTTGGATACTGTTCTCTCTCTGGTCCCCCTGTGCTGGAGAGAGAGGCTCTGAAACAGGCTTGGCAGATGGTGTGCCAGAGTTTGTGAGAGAGAAGCCCATGGGAGATGTTTTCACAGGACTCCTGGACCCTGTAGCCTTCCCAGTGCATCAGGGGAGAGTCCACGTCATTCCTTGCAGCTGCACACATGTGAGAGCGAGCCTGCCTTTTCCACCTTAGTGAAGGAAAGTCCATCAAAATGAGTTAAAAATTCCTCATTCATGGCCTTGGGGTTCCCCCTGCCCCCTTCCCTGGGAGAGATAAAGGAAAATATGTTTTCCTTCCATATTAACAGCTTCAAATGTGAGATAAATCCTTCTGTCCTAATCTATTTCTAACAAATGGACTTTGCTGTCCAGTGGCATGATACATGTCTGACGGATCTATTTATCCATTCTATTTCTTTAGTGATAGCAGCTATGAAGTTTTATCTATTATTTGTCTCCCTTCCTCATTCCCATTTTCCTAACCAAGCTCATGGAGCAAGTTGATGGATGGATGGTGTTTGGGATAAAAGGGGCCGGAATCAGATAGTTTTCAGGATATGAACAAACTGGCTTATTAACCAGGAGGCCCGTCCAGCAGGAGGTGGTGGGGGATGGAGGAGTGGATACCAGACAATGGTCAGTGATGGATGAAGGAACACCTGGGGTTGCAAGGTGTAGACGTGAGATAACTGGTGGACGCGGCCACTGATAAGGGAGCACCCAGGCCCTGGATCAGCCTCCTGCACAGAGGTGAATGTCAGACCAGCCACTTGACTGCCTTTGACAATCCTCCAACAGTTGCCCACAGCAAACACAATCCCTATTTCTTTCTGTAAAATGCAATCTTATGATGCTAGGCAGGGTTTAAAAAAAAAGTCAGACATTAGGCAGGGTTGGTTGTTCAGCACCCAAGAACAGGAAGGCAGTTGAGCACCCACCATGTGCCAGGCCCTTTGGGGTGATAACAATCCCTGTGCATATGTTATGTCATTCAGTTCTTACACATGGGCCATTGAGAGCATTGGCTACATTTTCTGAAGAGGACACTGAGGCACAGAGAAGACATATGACTTTTCAAGGACACTCAGCTAGGAAGTGGTAGCACCGGGCCTTGCACCTTTGTCCATGTGCCCCAAAGCCCTCAAAATGGCTCTGCTTCTCCTCTACTAAATGCCACACCAGGGGCCTTTCTCTGTCTCTTCTATGCCAGTGGGCTGTCCAGCAGGCACTGGCTGTACAATGAGCCAGATATGCTTCTGCTGTTGTGGGAAGAGGGGCACAGTGCAGCATCCGTTCTCACTCAGGCAGTCCTGACTCTTTCTAGCTCTGTCGTCTGGGGCAAATCGCTTAGTCTCTTGTCACGTGTCAGAGGCAGATAAGAAGTCCTTCCTCTTGCAGGCATTGAGAGGATTAAGCTGGATTAGGTATGTGAAAGTTCTTTGTAACTATTAATGCCCTCTGCAAATATTAGTTATTATGCTGTTACATTTTCCCTTAATAACCCAGAGCTTGGGATATAAAAGCTCTCTATGTCCTTTATTAAGACATCTCCTAGGTATTACGCTGTTTCATGTCTTTCTTGTTCTCTTGTATTGTAGTAGGTTTCACACTGAAATGTCTTTAAAGCAGTTTTAAATGACTATAAAAAGTCAAACAAATCAAGCATAGCCCTTGTTGATGTTTTGAGAGTCCATAGAAACAATGATGCCAATGATATAGCTGACTGTGGTGGGCCGGCTTTGTCCCAGGCGCTCTCCTGCGTGTAGCAGTTCACATAATGCTCCCAGAGCAGTATGCTACTGTCACCATTCCAGCTTACCTATGAGGAACCAGAGGCACATATGGGTACATAATGTGCATAAGACCACAGAGCTAGTGAGTCACAGAGCCAGGCCATGTTGCAAATGCAGGAGTCTGGCACCTGAGCACCCACGTCTAAGCACTTCACTCGCTATGCAGACTCTGTGATGGCAGTTCTGCCTGAGAGGCTGTGCTGTCCCCAAGGTATCTATGTAAGCCCGCCTCTGGGTTCTTGAGTACCTCAGTATTGGGATCTGGCCAAACACTTAAGAGAGACAACTCAGGGAGGAACATACCACGTGGAAAACTGATTTCATATTTAATAAGCAGGGAATCTCAAAGACCTCAAGTGCTCCATTCCAATGCGTTGTTGTTAGGTTTTAGGTGGGCATTCTAGGTTTACACTGAATCTGTGATGAGAACATGAAAGTGGAGGCAACATGTTGGAAGACAATGTTCAGAGTGAGTCTTAAATCATTTCCTGCCTCTGCCACATACAGAGCAGACCTCTTAACCTTGTTAAGCTTTGTTTTCTTTATCTACCTGTAAACGTGCTTCTTGGGTTTGCTCCAGCGCCATGATTGCAGGTTTTTCTGTTCTCTTTCTCTGTGAAGTTTCCCAGAAAATTTCTGATGGTCCTGAGTGGGTGTTCCAACACCCCTGAACAAGCATTAACAGCCCCTATCTGCCATCAGCTTTCTGCCTCTCTTATTCAACTTTTTGTTTGCAGTGTGCCCATGAAGCTGGCTGAAGGTGCTTCCCCTGGCCACTGCTGTGTGGGCTGTCCCTGTATCAGTCATCTGTACCTCATACTTCATGATGCCACCACCATGTGCCACCAATGCCCAAGTTTCTCACTGTCCTAGGAAGGCTTTTTCCTCGGCTCCACTCACATCTTTTCCTATTAGTTCATTAATTCATGCAGCAGCTCTTCATTGTTGCCTCATCATCCCAGGAACTGTAGTGGGTGCTGGGCATACGTGAGTGCGGCAGGTAGACACTATCGTGCCTTCACAGACATTATGTTTGAGGAGGGATCAGAGATGATAAATGAGTAAATTAAAATACAATGTCTGCAAAGCCTAAACACATTGGCAAATATACATACTGTCACAGGACATCTTCAATCTGTGAAACAAAACATTTCTCCATCAAGATGCTAATCACAAAAGTCCCCAGGGAGACCTGGGCGGTGTCCTAAGGGCTTACTGCTCCAGGCACACTCTCCTCCTGTGTTGTTTTTTTTTAAAACACCTGGGAGCAGGCCAGAGTCCTCTTCTTTAGAACAAAGATGGCATTTTCCTCTGGACTGTCTAGCAGCAGGTGCTCCTTCTTCTGGTCTCCCTGCACATCCCTCCACCATCCCACCTTCATGTCCATAGTCAGTTCATTCATTATAAGGATCAGCTTCCCTCTGAAGCTTTCTTCACATGTCATCTGGTGACTGCATTAACATCTACCCCATCAAATTCAGATAAAGATTAAATGAGATAATGTAGGCTGAAAGACTTCATAAACTGAAAGGCACTCTGTAATTGGCAGCTATTATCATAATAATTATAATAATTATTATTCCCACAGAAGTTATGTTATTAGCCAAGGTCATACAGGGAGGAAGCATAGACACAGAACACCTTCTACCCTGCCCCCCACCCAATCAAGCACAAGGCAGAGCTACCAGCATTTCAGAGATGCATGCTTTTAGATACAAAACCCTCCCACATCCAGGTATCCTGTGCTGTGTTCAAGCTTCCAGGACCACTGCCAAGCCACTGCCTAGACTGTGCCCCACAGATACCGCAGCTCCTACACAGGCACACTGGTGCAAACTGCAGTTGCCAAGGCTTTCCAAAAGCACAGTTTGCATTTATTTTGTTTAATTCTTACATTATGTTCGAGCTTCCTCCTAAATGCATTTGTTTGCAAAAAGAGCCACAAGGGGAAGTTCAGCCCACAAATAAGAATATAATTATTACACAGTTTAGCAGTGCCTGGGTGTCACCTGGGTATTCACCGGTGCTCTGCAATTCAATTGTCTCTCCTTGAAGACCATATTTAATAGGATAAACAATTTCTGTTAAATGCAATAAATGTGAACCTGGGCTGTCATCTCCATAATCAACTCAAATTTCCCATCAGAAGCAGTGGCTGTGATTGAGATTCAGAATTTAATTTGGCAGCGCTGGCTTCCACGTGATGTGCTGGTGTCGGCTTTGTAGGAGCCTCCCATTCACCAAAGACGGAGCCACTCTTCCCCATCTCTGGAGAATCTTAAAAGAAGATAAATTATAACTCAAGAAAATTATATAGCCCTGGTATAATGAAAGAGAGAAAACATTATTGGATTAGCCTGCTGAAATAACAGCAGACAGCAAAGAAATAATATTAAGTCAAAAAAGGGTCAGACCTGTCAGCTCAATTGCAGGGGACAGGGGGATGCAGGAAAAAATCAACATGCTTGCTCCAGCAAACCCTGGGCAGTACAATACTGACTGCCTCTGGGGGTTGTTCAATTCCAGATGGGTGGTTGGCCCAGAATGGGGGTGGTAGTGCCCCATGCTTTGGTGTCATAGACATGTTAAGGCCTTAAGCCACAGGACTGAGCCCAACAGCAAACTCAAAGCAGATGATGTGGGAAAAAAAAAACAAACACAAAACCCAGAAAAACCTGGTTGAAAATGAATAGGATGAATCAATTCACATTCCATTAACTTGTTTTTTCTACCAATTTGGTTTCAGCAGATTCACATTAAGTTATGAATTCAGACTGAAAGTACCCAAGAGACAAACAAAAATATTAAGGGATATTTTAATATCATAGAATAACAGCAATAAAGATTACATGATCACTTGACTCAATCTAAATAGTAAAAATATTGTCTTTTAGTAACCCGAAGATCAACTGCCTCCTTATTCTCCTCTTCAAGTACCTCCCTCCCCCAAATAGGATTTGTGCAAAAGCATGACTGAGTGAAGTAAAATGTACAGAGGTAGGGGAAGGTTTACATTGCACATTGCCCCTCAGCCATCAACTTGAACTTCTTGACATGTTTCCTCTTTCAGCCAACACAACCTCTCCTTTATTTTCCTGTTATTTTCTTAACTGTCTCTCATTCAGTGATCAGTTTCTCTGGCTCTTATCTCTAACTCAGGATCTTCTCTGGGTACCCACTCACATCACAATAATTCAGCTCTGCCCCAGAACTCCTGCTTGCAACATACACAACCAACCCTTCCAGTGCTCAGCACCCAAGAGAGCTGAGGAACCAGAATCCACTGCCCTCAGGATGCATGGGTGAAGACTTGTCAATCCCACACACAAACACATACACACACGGCACTTTCTCCTAGGTTTTATTTCATAAAATATTCTTTGTTAATCAAATGCCCAAATTTATTGAAAGAAAGGAAACATCATAATTACGAGTTTAAAACCCTGAACCCAAGTCCGCGGGTTTGCAGCCCAGCTCTGCCACTTCTTGACTGTGTATCCCTGGACAAGTCACTTAACTGTTCTAAGCCTCAGTCCCCCACCTGTTTGATAGAGCTGATATATCGCACCCACTGTATAAGGTTGTCATTAGGATGGAATGAATTAACCTACTGATGAATTAAGCACTGTGGTTGGTCCAAAGTAATCATTCAGTAAATATTAACTGCCATTGTGATTGACTGAGACAGTGTACTCCTCAATGGAGGAGCAACAGAATATTTATTCATTGATTCATTACTGGATACCTACTCTGCGCCAGTCACTGCTAGACAGTAGGACTTCAAAGTGACTAACTCTCAGCACAGTTCCTGGCTGGGTGGTACATATGAGTAAAAGAAAATGAGCCCAGTGAGAATTAATAAAATGATTAAGCCTTTAAGGAACCTAAAATTATTGCTTAGCTCACTATGTGTTCCAATCAATGTTCATTTTACAAATCTTTATTTTAAACATCCTGACTGGCATGGCCCTTCAGTCCTGGGCTGGCCTCAGTGGGGAGCTAGTGTGGGGTGAGCTGCCTGAGACCCTAGGGTGCAAACCCTCACTGTGTGCAGCCCATGTCACTGTCAGCGCTAGATGCTCTCCCTTCTTTAACAGGTGAGTGTTTCTGAAGCGGGGCCCGGGCAGGGGCTGCCCCCATTTTGAGGAGGTGGATTGTTGCACTGCCTCTGTCTTGTTTTCTGTCCTCCAGAGCATGGAGACCAATTTGACCAGCAATTCCATTGCCCATCAATGGTTACATCTATAAGAAAGAAGGTCAAGGAACATTAATTAACCCTGATTACACTGTGGTGCCCTATAGGTGGTGTGGAACATATAATCCAAAAGGCTCTAGGAGTCTGAATCTCTGATCTTCCTCCTCCAGTCAACTGTTCTTCTTTCAGGCCATTGTTTTTACCATGCTCCCTTCTACCACAGGGCCTTTGCACATGCTGTTCCACTGCCCAGTATATTCTTCCCTCCTCCATTTATCAAGTCAGTCCCATTCACCCTTCAGAGCATTCACCCTTCAGAGCCCAATGTAAGTGTTATTCCTACAGGGACACTTTCCCTGACCCTTAACTCCCTATCAATTCTTCATATTTGAAGCTCTCAGAGCATTTTGCAGCAGTTACAATTCAAACTTTAAATATATTTTTGGCATAACTCAAGTAATGTTGGCCTTTCCTTCTAAAGAGGAGTCTCCAGGATGACAGGATCTATATCTGACTTGCTCACCATGGAATCCCAGCACCTAAGCTGTCACATAGGAGGCCCTTAGTGAATGTTTGTTGAATGAATGGTTTCCAGCTTAGACACATTTTGGCTATAGGATGCTAGGTAGTTTACTTCTCAATGTGTAGAATAGGAGCTGTGTTTTCTGTTGTGAGCCTTGTGTGTGTTAAATGATATAATAACACTGTGGTTTCTCTTCCCTTACATCTGCCTTTCCTCTGGGAATTTTTTGTTGATGAGATTGGCAAATAATCAACTATATCCACCATGATATATCATGTTTCTGGCTAGGCCTCTAATTCACAGTGTAATTCTGGGTACACTACTTCATATCTCTGGGTCTGCCCACTTGTAAAATGAGAAGTCTAGAGTAGGAGTTTTCCAAGGTCTTTTCCAACCAGTGGAAATCCAATTGCATGTTCCCTGGCAGATTACTGTGTGGGACCTGGTTGAAGTGTGGGAGGAAAGGGAGTGAAGGCAACCTTGAGCTTGTTGCTGGGGAAGGGAATAGTATAGGCAGGCAGGAGTCAAGATCAAAGAGAATAGAGTTAGACCCACTGGATGTGAACCTGGGTTCCCACATGTACTTACTAACTGTGTGACCATTGAGCAAGTTAGTTCATGGCCCATTAAACCTCAGTTTCTTCATCTTTAAAATGGGGATATCAATAGTATCCACTTTATGAGGTTGTGAGGATTAAAGGATTTAATATGTGTAAAATATACATTTAATATATATAAAATACAAAATATATAAAATGGATGTAAAATTAATATATGTAAAATACAAAAGGATTTCATACTTATTTAGCTCTAAAACAAGCTAACCAATATCTATCTGGCTCTTACAACTTGGTCAGCATCATTCTAGGTGCTTTATATGCCTGATGAGAAAATCAAGACAACTCTACAAGATCTGAGTTTCTAACATCTATTTTACAGATGAGGAAACTGAGGCACAAAGAGGTGAAGTAAGTTGCCCAAGGTCACAGTTATTAAATGATAAATGTGGAATTTGAACCCAGTTGAGTTCAAGCACTCAGCAAGGTGCCTGGCACACAGTCAAGTGCCTGATAAATGTTTATTGCTTCAATTTGATGTGCCATTTCCTGTTTTAATGGCATCACCAAAAGTCATAGGAAGGAAAACAAAGGGAAGGAGGAATAGCAGGTTGAGAACTCTCAGATAATAAATTGGCCAAAGAATTTGAGAGCTGGGAGGGAACTTAATGAGAGTTTATAGTCTTTCGTTTGTTACGTCAACACATATCACTGAACAGCAGCTGTGCTGGGACATGGGGACACAGAGACACACTGAACATCATCCTCCCTATTCACAGAGTCCAAAGGAGGAATTAACTAATCTACCTGGGAAGGGGGAGGAGCTAGAAGACTTTTTATAGAACAAGAGACATCTGCACTGGATTTTGAGGAGTGAATAGAAGTTTACTAAATTTAAAAAGGAAAAAAAGATAAGCGTTCCAGAATGATCCAAAGAGATGACTTGAAAATGCCATTCATCAGCCTATCACATGGAGCACTCTCAGTTGGAAAATAACAAAACATACAACCTCGAGCTGTTACAGGGTGCAGCCAAGAGGGGGGACCCCAAATGGGCATTTGAAATGGGGTCCAGAACTCAAGGTGTCCAGGAGATTTTAAGGTGTCTTCAACCCTTCCCCCACAGGTGTGAGTTGGGGGAAGGGGCACACAGAGCAAAAACATGCAGGGCAGCTTTGCAGCTAATCCATGGCATGGTCATTTAGCATACCTATAGCCTTTGGCTGGTCACTTAGATATGCTAAATAGCTATGGCCATGCTCAAGGCCAGGGGGATGGAAAGGGATCTCCCCACCAAGATGTGACTGGGGGGCAGGTCTCCTGAGTTACAGCGCCTGCCTGCGTGGGAGCTGGGAGAAGATTGGCTCCATGACATGGGGTGACACCTGCCCAGACCCACAATGGTGACCAGAAAAGCTGGAGAAGACAGCAGATTGAGGGCAAGTGTGCCCAAGTGTAGGGGGAGTTGGAAATGGGGCTGCAGAAGAAGATTGGCGCAGGGAATTTAAACCCAGACATGGCAGCCATTGAGGGGGAACCACGCGGCTTTGGCAGAGTGGGGACTCTCCCTTCCCACAGCCCTGAGGAGGAGAACCACGTGGCCTTGACAGAGTGGAGACTCCCGCAGCCCTGAGAGAGAGAACCACGTGGCCTGGCAGAGTGGGGACTCCCGTGGCCCTGGGAGAGAGGACCATGTGCCTGTGCCAGAGTGGGGACCCCCACAGCTTTAGAAGGGGGATCTACCACCTGGTTTTAGCAGAGATCCTGGTGACTCAGCAGAGGGTGCCAGGAACCCAGGGAGGTCTCCCAGTTGAGATGGAGGACTAACTAAGAACCAGAGGACTGCCTGAGCCATGGACTTCTATTTCCTTTCCTGAGATACGGTACTCTGGATTGGGCAAAGGGGGAAAGAAGGAAGGACTGTGTGTGTTTGTGGGTGTTTTTAGGGACGTTAGGATTTTTGATAAAGACATTAGGTCACTACTTTAAGTTAGTATAGCATTAAATAAACATTTCCTTTCCTTTTCACGAATCTCTGGCATTGAGAGACGTCTTTCCTCTGGCGGTGGACATAACGGACCCGGGGCCTTCTTTCAATAATAGTATATCGTCCCAGGCCCCCCTTGTTGTGTTCTGTAACAGAGCCAGGATGGATCTCAAGTTTCATAGTTTCCAGCTCCCCACCAGACACCCCCACTTTGTGCTTGCTCTTTTGAATTATTCTCTGAACTTCCCCGGATCTCCCTTTTCCTACCAACTCTCAAAGATTCCTTACTTTTCCGTAAGGTGATCTCACAGCCTTGGCCTTGAAATCCATTAGGACAGATGCATTCACAGCGTGATTCTGGAAAGACAACACAGAGAGAATGTGAACTATAACCATGTGGCACAAAGAACTTTTGGAGTTCATTTCTCTACATCATTGCTTTTCCATTAGGTTAAAAGAGGGCAAACATCCAGCTGAATGGTTTGAAATAAGATGGTTCAGTGCCAAGAATACCTACTCCTTTCTTGATGGCCCTTTGCTCATAAAAGAACACATTTATTGCCATCATGGAGAATTATGTGGAGTTGTTGAGGAATACTACTCATTAGCAGAAATTTGACCTAGTCTTATGAGTTCAGAGTCAGAAGGTACATTTGTGATCAGTGAGGCCAATGGTTGTTTTCACCACAAGTAATTACCTAGCCTCTGCTTGATCACCTCTAGTGATGGGGAACTTACTACCCTGAGATGTTTCATCCTCCCTTTGGCCAGTTACTCCTTATGTTATTCTGTAACATGTCAGCCTGGAGCTTCTCTCATCTGGATCAGTCTGAATGTCTTCACAGGACCGTTCTCCATAAATCAGGCCCTGCGAGCATCCCAGCCCCTATCTTCATATTCTTCCCCTCCTCCAGTGAACACCTCAGGTGGGTCTCAGGTTCTAGGTCTCAATGTCACACAAGGCAAGGAAGATTTCAGCAACCCTAGATCAAACCCTTGAGCTGCTGAGCTGCATTCCTTCCTGCTAAACTGAGCCTCACTTAGGTGTCCTTGTCCTGAAGGCAGAGCTTCCCAGCCTTATGCTCTCACTATGTCTGCTTTGCTCACATCCATCTTGTCCAATGAGTTAGACACACACATCCTCAATCTCAGCTGGGTAGCTGGGATCTTTCCCCATGAGAACAGGTCTTTTCCATATCCCCTCTGCCTAGCTTGCTCCATCCACACGGTTCATCCTGCCCACTACAACTGGTTCCCTGAGCTGGGATGTCCTGGAAGCAGTTGCTCTAGTTGTCCCATTTTGTCATCAGGCTGGACTGGGCCCTTTCTCAGAGTTTTGCTAGCCCATCATAAAAGAGCATACGACCCCAGGCCCCAGCATCTTCTAAGTTTGTCCCGCTCACAGCAGTGACCCCAGTGTGACCCTCAGAGTTAGGAATCAAATTCTAGTGGCCCATCCTTTCTGAAGCGCTCCAGTACCCCAATCTGTTCACCATGTCTTGGTCAGGAAATGCACAAAGGGTTTCCTCTGCTCAGCCTAGGGCCCCTTCTTTGACCAGATTTCCTGAGTTCTGAAGGTTGCAGGCACAGCATACCTCATTTTATTGTGCTTCCCTTTATTACCCTTCACAGGTGTTGTGTTTTTTTGCAGATGGAAGGCAAGACTCCACCAGCAAAAAGATTAAGACTTGCTTTACTACATATGATACCCATTTTATTATGGTGGTTTGTAACCAAACCTACAATACACTCTCTCTGAGGCATGCCTGTAGTTCGAATACTGAGTTAGGTTGAGGAAGCTCAGCTTTAAGTGGCTCCAAATGACCATGGGGCCCTTTTTCCCCTTTGAGATAATGAAAAGAACTTCATGACGGACCCGGGGCCTGAGGCAGAGGACCAGGGATGGACCTAGAAACTCTCCTTGAGCTACTCGGGAGGGTAGGTGGTTTTAATAACCTGTTCTGGCCCCAGAATCAGCCCCTCCAAATGAAGGCTTCCATAGGGGACACCAGCTGCCCGGAAGTGGTACCTTTTAGGACAGGGACTCCATTCCCGTGGCAGGGAGCACAGATGCAGGAGCTGACTTCTCTCTGGAACTCCTCCAAGGCCCGCTTCATGTTCTGCTTCACTGTGCTGGAGTAGGCAAAGTCTGTGGAGGTCACCAGTTCATACAGAGGCTCTGCCTGGGAAGGGAGGCAAGGCATTTATGTCAACAGAAAACATTCATTCAATAGAAGCGTAAAGCAAGGCTCTGCAGGAATGGGCAAAGGGTTAGTGCATGCATGGAGACCAAAAGTGGATTCATATGGAACTGGATAAATGCCACAGCATGTAGATAAGCTCATTCAAGTTCAAGTCAACCAGTACTTACTGAATACTTCCTTAGTGCCAGGAATTCAGCACAAGTAGGGAATAAAATAAAATCCCCACTTGCAAGTAACTCAGAATCTAGAGATAGAGACTAATATGCTAGTGGATACTTACAGCACAGTGATGACAGGTAACAGTGGAAACTTGTAATGGATAGAGTGGAGCAGGTGGTTAACCTGTCTGAGGTGAGGGAGGCAGTGATTTTCAAACGGCTCTTTGAAAGTCTTAAAGGAACCTCATCCTAGCATCACTCCCCTCCAAATCTATCAAAAGCATTCACATTGTGCAAGAGCCACTATCAAAAAGCCTGTCCTGAGCTCCAAAGCTCACAGAACACCTTGCCACCAGGAAATGCTCAGAACACTCTATACTGCTCCTCTGATGCAAACTCTTGTTGCTCCCTTGTGGTGGTTACATTTTCTGTGTTGAAATATCTCTCTCTCTCTCTCTCTCCCCCTCCACCCCCTCTCTTCTTTCTTCTCCAGTTAGATGGTAAACTCCTGAAGATCAGGTCCACAACTCCTCAGCTCTGTCTCTAGCATCCAGCCTTGAGTGCAGTGGGGACCACTGATAAAGTGGATAGATACATTGATAAAGTGGATAGATACATTGGAGGGGGATTGAAGACCTTATCATCAGGGCAGTAGCAGCAGGCATGGAGGAGAGGGTATGGACAGCAGAACCACAGAAGTAGGAGTGATGTTGGTTGCTCAGAGAGCAGGGCAGTGTTTGAGAACTGGAAGCCACCAATGGAACTGGCGGTGTGTGGAGGTCAGGAAAAACCAGAGGCAAAGCCCCAAAAGGTAGTTAAAAATGTTCATTCTCTTGGCTCCAGTTTCAGCTCCAAGGCCATGTTCCTTTCCAGGTTTTGTTAGTGATTCTGCCCTAATGCAGCCTTGGAGACTTTAGGGTCTGTCTAAATACAGGCAATCAGGCCTAATAGAAGCCTCCAGTGAGAAGAAAATTGCTTCCATTTCTTAATGCATCTGATGCTGACCTTCGCCCCAGTGCGCAGAGCAAGGCCCCTTGGTGGTCCCATTGTCTCACTGTTTTGTGGTCAATGAATTGATCCAGAGGCTGTTTGCAGAAGCTTCCAGCCTGCTGGCCCACACAGAGGGGGGGCACAGAGGATCGGGAGGCAAGGGGGTAGGTTTGCTATACACCAAAGATGAGCTCTTCCAACAATCAGCTTTCCCTATAGAGTAGCCTGAAAGGCTGCCTTTAACCACCCAGGCATTGTCCTACCAGCACTGCCAGAGTTGCTCCAGGAGAGAGAACAAGTCAGCGGCAGAACTGGAATAACCCTTCCATGCACACTGTGTGCCAGGAGCTGTGCTGGTGGTTCACAAATATGGCCCCATTTCACTTTCATAAGGTAGCCTTCATTAGCCCTGTTTTCAGGTGAGGAGAAATAACTTGAACAAAGTCAGATAACTCCTAAAATAGCATTTGTTGTTCCTACTAGTTCATGGTGATTACTGATAAAAATGGCTTTAATATTTCTATTTCTAACCTCTATCCCAGGGTTCTCCAAATTTTGCAGATTATGGCGGAATTCTGAGCAGAAACTCAAAACTTCACAGCTTCCTTTTTAAACTAATGTGACTCATCTGTCTATTCTTTGGTTTGCCCGTCCTCTTTTCCTGTCTCTCTTTTCTGCTCCCTTCCTTCCTGCCTCTCTCCCTCCTTCCTTCCCTTCTTTTTTCTTCTCATCGCTTCTCTAAGTACACAGCCCTAACCAATCACATTGATTATTGGGTCCTCAGCACACCTGTCTTATAAAAATTTTATTTATCACATTTCTGCAAAGACATGATGGGTGCTATCTAAGACCATGCAATTCTCTATAAGGGACCCTGATGTTTGACACTTTAAATAATAACAAATACTTATTGCCATAACTAGTATGTATTAGGTGCTGAACTAAACACTTTACATACATTATTTAACTTAATCTCCACAACAGTCTTATGAATCAAGCAGTCTTCTGTATTCCCATTTTACAGATGAAAAGGCTAAGGTACAGAAAAGTTAAATAGATTGACCAAAGCCACACAGTAGTGGGAAAGAACTTGAACTGTTACCATTGTGGTCTAATTCCTTTCAGTGCACCTGTTTTGGATTGGTAGATAGACAAATACTGTAGTGACACCAAATTGGTGGCCTAAGACAAATATAGTTTTGGATTCCACTTTTTTCATTTGCCTCATATTATGAGCATAAAATGATTTTTCATGGCTACATGGTGTCTTGTGGTATGGGTAAATTGGAACATACTCAACTTTGGCCCTGTTATTAAATCTTTAGGTTGTTTCCTTTTTTTCTCTTTTGCTATTATAAATCACATAAAACAAGGCATGTTTTTATGCACACATCTTTACCAACTTTAACAATTATTTCTTGAGCTAATTCTGCACTTAGTGTTATTAAATCAAAAGCTATAAACCTTTTTTAATGTCTGGGGTATGTATGGTTAAATTCTTTTCCTGAAGGGCTGTAACGATTTGTAGTCCCAGCTCATTTTATGGAAGTGCCCATCTCATCGCTCTCAACAGACATTAAGGCTTATAGATTTTTAATCACTGTCAGTTTGATATGTAAAACAATATTGCTTTGTTACTTTAGTTTTTAATTCCTAGAAAAGCTGAACATTTTGCATATTTATTCACCTTCTGAGTTCTTCTGGCTGTTGCCTATTTCTTTCAGATGTGTCCTTCTTATAAATCGCATCATTCCCTTTACAGTTAGAATTTCACATGTGGCAAAATTATTTTGTAGGTGTGCAACCTGACATTTAATCATATTCATGGTTTCCTTATTTGAAATTCAGAACTTATTTTTGAGGGTGATGTTGTCAGTTCCATCAGTTCACATGCAACATCATCCGCGCAGGCCATGCTAACACAGTATCTGTATGTTAAATGTTCTCTTGGTCAGAGTAATTTGCTTTTAGAGAATCTTTGATTAAGCTGCTTTAGAAAGATTTGGAGGTCATTATCACTGTTTACCAAATACAGCAGCTTCTTTTCTCTCTGGGCAGGTGGCAGGGCTGCAATTCCCTGCCATCCCTAAGAACAGCTTTGTAGTGTGAATTGTCTGGAGCCATGAAAGGTGAGCAAAGGGAGTGACCCTTCCAGATTGAAGCTTTTGGAGCGGAGTGAGGTGACTTTTCCTATTTCCTTACCTCTGCTGATGATCTTGGGAGCACATGCCCAGGTAAAGTCTTCATCACCTGGATCCCTGAGTGATGGTGGGAAAGCCCCCTGGCCAGTATACTTTTGAACATGTCACCGACATTTGGGGGTTGTTTCCCTGCAGCACAACGTACGTAGGCTGTCCTCTCATCTCCTGGGTACCATTTACCACTGTATTTTTTCCTTCTACCCTGGACAATGCCCATGCTCCACACAATGGCTTCCAGCAGCCTGGATCTCAGACCAAAGCCTAGCTGCTCTGACTACTCTGGAAATGTGTATGGATGACAGACTTGGTGATTAGGGTTGCCAGTTAAATACAGAATTTCCAGTTAAAACTGAATTTCAGGCCCTGGCTGGCGTAGCTCAGTGGATTGAGCACGGGCTGGGAACCAAAGTGTCCCAGGTTCGATTCCCAGCCAGGGTACATTCCTGGGTTGCAGGCCATAACCCCCAGCAACCGCACATTGATGTTTCTCTCTCTCTCTCTCTCTCTCTCTCTCCCCCCCCTCCCTTCCCTCCCTAAAAATAAATAAATAAAATCTTTAAAAAAAAACCAAAAAACTGAATTTCAGATCAACAACAAATAATTTTTTAGTGTAAGTATATCTAGTGAAATACTGTGGAGATGCTTATATTAAAAAATTATTCCTTATTTGTTTGAAATTCAAATTTAATCTGACATCCTACATTTCCTAAATTTGGCCACCCCTTACATACTTCCTTTATTATCTCAAAATGTCTTTGGGATTTCTCAGCCATTAAGGATCATTCAATGTACCAAAAGCTTTTCCCTTCCAGACCTCCTGGTTGTCACTCCATTATCTTTAAGCATTTAGTGTCGGAAAGAATTCTAAGAACAATATGACTTTTATTTTTATAGGATATATTTGTTGCTAAAAGAAAAAAAATCACCAGAATATGTTTCAGTAGAGTTTTTTTCCCCCCTGTACTTTTGCCTAATTTTCAACAAGCTGCTCATTTTGCAGTATCAGCTCACAGAAATTTCCCTCATTATGTGTTTGATTAATGCATCTTCACACTTAATCTTGTCTCCTCCTCAGGAAGAAGTCCCTGAGTTTTAGATTGTAAGTCTGCACTCTCTGTCCATCATATTTCTTTCATATAATTGTTTTAATCTCATTGCCTTGTGCTCCTACATTCTAAGAACATTTTTATAGCACCTTCCACATCACTGGCTCAATTTTCTGCAGTGTCAATTCTGTTCTTTATAGTTCCCCATGTAGGTTTTAATTCTGCTATTGTGAGTTTGGTTTCCTGTATTCAGCTACATCCCTTTTCGCCTGATTCATGTCTAAACATCTCAGCTCCTATTTTTTATTTCATACATTCCTCATTTTCTTGAATTTTGTTATAGTCACAAAGCAAATGCATTTTAAATTTACTTGTTTTTCTATATTTTAGACATATGCTTGTCTGCTGCATCATGAATGTCATGTTAATCTTTTGTGCTCAGAACTTTCTTTATATCACTTTCATGTCTATCACTTTCTCTTAACTCTCCTGCAAACAAAGAGCCCTCTCTCTGTGTCTAAGTTCACCAGTAAACAGTGGGAATGGGGCTCTTCTGTGGCATTCTTCCCCATTCACCTGGCTTCTACAGGAATCCTGACTCAGATCGTGGTCTTCAACACCGGCCTTGACTAACACTTGTGTGTAGGAATTGCTTGTGTAGTGGGCTCTACTGTCCTGGGAAGCAATCACTGCTCCAGCTACCTAGTAAGCTGACTCTGCAGAGGAGAATTAGTTAGAGATCATGTGAAGCCATTTGCAGGTTTCTCTTGCCAGAAACTGCAAGAAGGATTGGGATGCCCAGAATGTATGTTTCCAACTCAGGTTAGGAATGTACAGAGGAAGTGCAGAGGTTTTTACAGAGGTAAAAACCTTCAACAATCCTGCCCCCGAAGCTCCTTGAAAACATCTCTGATTCTCCAATCTCTTCCTCTTTTTTGGCCCATTTAGGCCTGCAGAGCCCTATACTGGTCGTGGGTGTGACTTTCCACTATGTGCCACGTGTGCTGAGAAGCCTCAGGAAAGTGCTACATATCTGTGGTTGTTTGTAGGCCTGTTTGAGATGCTTAGGATGCAAACATGGCCCCCACACACCACATCCCATATCACAACATATGCTTGGCACTCAGCATTCCCAATGCCCAGGCTAGCATGTCCAACCTATTTAGATAGGTAATCAAGGCAATCCATTAACTCTCAGTTTTAAATAAAAGGTTCAGGTAAGAGGTAACTAAAATGTAAATGCCAGGGATCTATTTTTCCCTGAACTCTGTTCTCTCCTATGCCCATATATGATACCAACTCATGTCACTGTGCCATCAGCTAATCCTAGATTTCTCTGGAGCTGCCTGCAATTCTGTTCTTCTCGATGCTTGCCTACATGTCACTACTGAATAAGTGGCAGAGGAAAGGATTTGAATGGCAGCCTTCTTGTTCTGGAGAAACTGTGCATTTGACATACAAATAAAGACCCTGTGGAAAATTGTCAGGGTGGGGAAGTACAGAGCCTCCCATCAGAGTGGTAGCCCCTCAGCTCCCCTCCTTCACTGCAAGAGTAAATCTCCAGGGGCCAGAGGCTGGATGCTCAATGACTCTACAGATGACAGTGAGAAGAGGACGGTGTAAGATATGACATGGACACTGTCCTGAAGGCCCCACAGGCGAGGACCTACTGCTGCTGATGTGTATGACAGTCCCATTCCAGCAAATGTCCTTTTAGTTTAAGTTTGCAAAACAATTCTTGTTTGGGTGACAGGTGGTTGGGATCATTATTTTTTAAAAGTCTGGAGAGGAGGGAAAATGTGCAAGTCTCAGGTCCAGACCTATCAGAGACTCCCCAGCAACCACAGATGGGTGCAACCTCTGTGACCTTGGTTTTTATCAGCCACAAAATGGAGATAAGCACACTTAATCTGAAGACTTGTGGTGATTAAATCAAATAAGACTGTTAAAGCCCCTGGCCGAGTGTCATGAATACGTGCCCCGAAGATGTTAGTGATCACTGTGATGTATTATCCTGCCCTGTAAGATAGTTACGCCTGGATGTGTCCTACTGTTTGGTGCAGACTGTATTTCTCATCCTTGCATGTCCCTCTATTTTCCTCCAGTGCCTGAGTTCCTATCACACTGTAGGAACACAGCAACTATTTGTTGGTTGCCTGAATGACTATTTAAATGAACAAATAAGTGAATGAGTAATTCTCTGATGAAACAGAAACAATATTAACAAGGCCTGGAATAGAAGCTGATGGTTCATCTTCTCCAGCAACTTGGGGGCCCAAGTGAGAGCGAGTCAGGAGTTTCTAACCAGTGCTGAGCAGTATATCATAATCAGTTCATTCCAGATGCATTTTCTACTATAATGTACGCATCTCCTGATTAGGGGCTGGGTTTTATTGAGCTCTGTATCCTACACTCTGGCTCACAGGAGCCCCTCATGGCTGTTTCTGAATAGGGGAAGGACCGGTAGAGTAGCTGCCAAGCTGTACCTTGATTTTGATGATGTCTGGGTTGTACTGCACTGCGTCTCCCCACTCCTGCATCAGGTCTGCTGTTGGCAGGTCCCTGTACGCCAGGGCGGTGATGTACTCACTTGCTCCTCCTCGCACTCGGACCACCAAATCCTCTACCATGCTGTTATTCTCGTTTCTGTCTGATATGGACACAGAGACCTGGAATGTCAGGTAATCTACTTTTGCACCTTAGAATTTATTGCAACCCAGCTAACAGCCTCGTTACCATGATATTCACTGAGCTTGCCCTGGAGAAGTGGACAGATAAGACACATCCCTGCCAGCAAGGGAGGCACCCTGTAATGGGCAAAAAGCAGCTCACCCAATCATATGCAATGCAAGTTGGGGACAGAACAAGAGGGACATTTATTTTGAGCATCTATAAATGCCAGTCACTAAGTTAGTCAATGGAACATAGATATCAGATAGATAGATAGATAGATAGATAGATAAACAGCTCATAGGTATGTGAAGAAATTAGTAGTTGAGAGATAGATACATAGCTACATACATATATACATTCATATGGCTAAGTTGATAGATCATAGTTAGGTAAATAAATTGGTAAATAGATGGATACATAAATCCATCTATACATAGGAATAGATTCATAGATCATAGATAGGTAAATAGATTGGTAGATAAGTACTGATCATTCATGTGTCAGTCACTAATCTAAGTGTTGTACATGTATTCACTCAACCTTCACTATGACATAGAAAGTATGTAATTCTTATTTAGCAGAGAAGAAATCTTAGGCACTGGTGTGAAGGAATTTATGCAGATAGCTCTGCCCAAGCTCTAAGCTATATCGCTTCTTTGTGTGAGATGACAAAGCTGGAAAAGTCTGTAACGGCTGGGTTCTGCAGGGGATAGATACTTAGGAAAGAGTGTCTACTATAGACTGATTATTATTTTGATTTTTCTTGGAGTTCCCAGAGAGCTCTCAGTCACGTCAGTGAGTCATTCCCATTCTAATTGGCCTATGTGCCCAAGGCCAAAAGAACTGGTGTAAAGTGGCTACTCAGCTCTGAGTCTGCAACAGCTGAGCATCATATGAAGTGAGCCTTGCATACTGCTGGTAGGGGTGTAAACTGGTACAACCATTTTAGAAAACAGCTTGGCACTATCTAGTGTAGAAAAACAACTTATCAACAACCCAGCAATTCCATTCCTAGGTGTGGTCCCTGGAGAGACACTTGCACAAGTGGACCAGATGCCTGAGTGAAAATGATCATAGCAGTATTGGTTCTAAGTGTATGAGATAGCAAAAGACCCAAACTTAACAGTTGGATAGACAAGGTGTTGTATTTATGCAGTAATGGAAATGAACTAGTTATATTTATACACAAAAACATGATGTTGAATGAACCCCCCCCCCCCCCCCCCAGAACTGAACAGATTGCATTCCATCCATCCATGGTTCAAAGACAAACAACATTGAGCCATACTGGTCAGTGATACATATGGGAGGTGAAACTATTAAGAAAGGAAGAGCATGGTTGACACAGAAGTCAGGATGGTGCTGTCTTGGAAAGGAAGGAAGGGGTTGTGATTGGTGAGGGTTCTGGGGTGCTGAGCAATGTTCTCTCGAATGACCTGGATGGGGGTTTGTTTTACTAGCAGTCTTTAAAGAGCACCTGTATTTTATGTATGCTTCCATATGTAGGATGCATCTTCCAACCCAGCCACACCAAGATGAACCAATAAACGTCAACCACACATCAGCCACAGTGCAAAAGACTGTTCAAGATGGGTGGTTAATTTTTGTTGTTGTTGTTTTGTCTCAGCTGTGGAACTCTTGCTCACATAAAACTTAGTAAGTACAGTAGATGAAGGAGAGCTGATTGAGGTGCAGAAGGGGCTGGGGACTGGAGCCCTGCTCATCAATCTCTCTTTCCTCCCCCACTGGCCATGGTGCATCCCAGCTCCCTTGTATGGCCTTTGAGTTTCCTGCTCCTAACCTGGCTCTACACCCTGGGTTCAGTGCACACCCCCAACCTGGTCTCTCCTGCCATGAGGACTCTGCTGCACTATTTTTTATTTTGCCTGTTCTTCTAGTCTCTCTAAAGCCCATCGTCTCAGGTAAGGGCTAGTCTTCTCGCCTACCTCCCCTGACCCCAGCATCCTGCCTCTAGCCCAGCCAACTGGGGCTAAAATTAGCCCTGGACTAATTTCCCATTGTTAGATTTTTTTTTTCCTGCCTAAAACACAACCTTGACACTTGACTCCTGCAGTGGCAACTCAAATGATGCCTCCCTTAGAAAGCCCTCCCTGATGCCTCAGGCTGGGTTTGGTGCTCATCACTGTCTTATCTTTGGTTCTTTGTTTGCCTACTTCATGTGACTATCATGAGGATAAAAGTGCAGTTTTATTCATTTTTGTATGCCTAGCACATAGTAGGGGCTATGTAAATTTTTACTGAATGAATTATTATTATTTTAATTGAAATGGCTCGGAATATCCAGTATTTAATGTAAAGAAAGACAAAGTCCTGGAGGTGCTCTAGAGGGAAAGAGCATAAGCATAGGAGTCACAGGCCCCTGCCACTCACCGTTTATTTCCCTCAGAATATCCGTGCATGTGGCCAGTGACACACCAAGACTGAGGTAGACCACCTTCATGGCAGCACCAATTTTAAAACCTGCTTGGGCGCAGGCATGAACATCTGCAAGAGAATAACCTGAAAGAAGCAAGAAAAGAGGCTCTTGACCTAAAGGTGATTCATCCTGTCCTTTTCCCTGTGTTGATTCCAGAGGCCTGGCTGGATATCATGGGGCCACACAGGGACTAAGGTGCAAATGAATGGGTGGCCAGCCTGATGACAAGAAATGCAAACAGCTACTGCACCAGGGCAGAGACCTCCTAAGAGAGGAGTGTCAGCTTCCCCTGCAGCCTTCTCAGAGGCTCTGAGGGTTCTTGCCTCCCGCCAAAGAGGGGGAAGTGCTCAGAGAGCCCTTTTGTAAAAATGTGGTTCCTTATCATGTCTCTAGGGATTGAGCTGATGAATATAGGCTGCTGCAATCATCTCCCTTCCCTTGACCCACCCTTCTCTCATCTTTGATGTAGTAGAAAGAGCTTGTTAATTGATTAATTGAAGTAATGCATATCAAGTGTCTGGTATAGTACCTGGCAAAGGGGCCCATTCCAATTTCTTCTTCAGTTTTGGATCATTTCCCACTTGTCCCACTCTAATTCTCCTCAAGGCATCCTCCTCCCCTGGGCAAGCTGAAATCTCAGGTATGCCTTGTAAGCACCTTTCTGCAGCACTTTAAGGTCAGTGCAAGAACCAGAATTTTGACTACTCATGTTGTCTCATGATATTGGTGCAGATTCCCCAAAGCATGTTTTTTGAAACATGAGCCCCTTGATAATATCTCTTATAATTCTTGTATTAGTAAGTTTTATAAGAGAAGGGACTTCTGTGGTCAAGTAAGTGCAACCAGTGCTGCATCAGAACAGGCAGAGGGTCACTTCATGGCGGTATGCTTGTGAAATGCCTAAAGTGGGATCTGTCATGTTTCCCCAATTTATTTTATCCCAGAACCCATTTGAGAAAGCATGAAAATCACTTTTGATACCATTGGTATGGAGAAAGGTACCCTCAATCTTGGTAAGACTGAGGCCACCATGACATAAGTTTACATTATGCACCATGTGGCTTCTAACAAGTGCCCTGGACTTATAACCAAGCCCCAGCTCTGCCACTGTAAACTCTGTGGCCCAGGGCAAGTCACTTAGTCTGACAAGTGCCATGCTGTTGGAAACAGTACTGGTTTAGGAAGCAGGAATCATGCCTTAGACTTGTAGTTAATTACAATTGCAAAGACTGGTAATATCTGTATGGAGAACGGATTGTAGAGGAGGGATGGGAATTGAATATTAGTTTGTAGGCAATGGTAATAATCTGCAACCTCAATATTTAAAGTGTGGTTTATGGGACAGTAGCATTGACATCACATCAAAGCTTCCCAGGAATGCAGAATCTTGGGTTTCACCTGGAACTTACTGAATCAGGGTTTGCCTCTTACAAAATTCTCAAATAATCCACATTCACATTTTGACAATTACCAGTCCTGGGGTGAGTGTAAGATGGTAATGGTAAAGACAGAGATAAAAGGCAATCAGGGACTAAGCTGATGGGACTTGCTAATAGGTTGACAGGAAGGTAAAATAATCAACCGTTGACTCCTAGGTTTTTGCCCAAGTCTCTGGGTTAGATGATGGAACTATTCTGAGATGTGGATGACAATGGAAGAAATATATTTGGGGAAAGAAAAGCAAACATTTTCTTTGCCGGGCATATTAAAGTTGTGATGGTTGTTAGGCATTCAAATGGAGATATCAACGAGGCATTTTGACAGAGAAGGGAGCCAGGAGGGATAAAACTTGGAAGTTATCTGCACGGTGAAGGCATCGAAAGCTCTGAGATTGGACACTATTGTCTACAGAGGAGCTGGAGAAAGAGGACAGCCAGGACTGAAGGCTGGGTGGAGAACCAACCTTAGCAAGTTAAAAAAATGAGGAAGAATATGCAAATGAAACTGTAAAAGTACAGTCAGGGAAAGAGAAGGAAAACAAGGAGCATGACTTAAAACTCTTCTTTCCAAAACTAATGGAAGCCCTTTCTGTCACCGCACACAGCTCACATGTGCCCCTGTAGGAAAGCCCTGGTACCCTGGGTCATGTACCTGCTTTCTTCATGGCCTTTTTGTTCAGAACAAGTGTGTATTCATAAATGCCCCCAAGCACGGCCTCTGTGATGTAGTGGGTCCCAAAATCACGGAAAAGATCTCTGTACTCCCCATAGCCATACTCCAGGGGCAGTTGCTTGACTCGCTGAAGGAATTCATGATGCAGCATGAGGCTTCGGGATTTTAGCTTGTAATGTGCCACTTCAAGGTCAGAGCGTGCGTGCAGAAATTTGCTTCCCTAAATGAAATACCAACATGGGAAAACCAGACATTTAAAGCTAGGGATCTGGAACGAGAAGATGAACTTTACAAATACCAGCCTATGTTCTCGGTCTGGGGTCGTCACTCTTATGATTCCTTTAGGATACCTGAGGGAAGGCGGCCTCTCTGACATGTCTCATAAATATTCTGATGTCCTTTTCAGCTTGGAAGAGCTAGCTCTTCACTCACCTCTTTAAAGTAGCAAATAAGGAATGAAAAGGGGAGGTAACCAGAAACAAGACATGGCAGGGGGGCAGCATGGGCACATGTGGCAACAGTGTTGGGACACGGGATTTGCTGACCCACAAAGGCAACTTCTTTATGTTCTTCAGAAGAAAAGCTACTCAAGGAAAAGTGAAAGCAGTGCTTTAGGGAGGCAAGACATTGTTGTGTATGGCAAGACACAATGAGCCACAGCCTGCATGCCAAAATCAATGCCTGGTTTTGAAAATATAGTTTTATTGGAATACAGCCATGCCCAAGTGTTTATGTCCAAAGCTGCTGTCACACTACAGTGGCACAGTTGAGTAATGTCAACAGAGCCTCTACGGCCCCACAAAGCCCATTTGGCCCTTTAGAGAAAAAGTTTGGTGACCCTGGTTTGTGGGATCATCTGAATGGTGGCCATGCTAGGTGATGTGCAAACATCCAGGAGCTGTTCGTATAACAGCCCCTGAGGGGAGAGGCTGCTACACTGCTGTGGATGCCGAGAAAAAAGGTGCAAAAGTGGGAAGTGTCCATGGGGTACATTCTACCCCAATCTTAAAACTTCAGCAGCCTGGCCAATAAGTTCCAGAAAGCCATGCCAGCTCTGAGTGTGCCCCCCTGCCCCAGTGCCCTCACTGGTGTCTGCCTGGCTTCCACCCATTCTAGTCCTGCCTCAGTGACTCGTGACTATCCTCCTTCCTTGCCCCTCCAACCTAAGCCATCACTAGGTGCTCTGTTCATGACTTTTCTGAGTGTTTGAGGCTTCATCTCTCACTTGGGTTATTATAAAAGCTTTCCCACCCATCTCTCTTCTTTTTCTAATCAGAACTGACATCCTTACATTCTGATCACATTATTATAATGCTGCTTGGGGCTTAAAACAAACCCATGCTTTGGCTTGCTGTTGCCTCCAGAATAAAATCAACTCCCTTACTTTGAATACATGAGCTTTACAATCTGTGCTCCAATAGCCTCTCTGGCATTAGCTTCTACAACCCTCAGGTCTTCCTCTCCATATCTTACTATTTCCGTCACCCACACCATATTTCAAGCATCATTTCACGTTTTACTGTTCCCCAATCTGCCTTTTTATTTCATAATATAATTTTGCACACACTGTTCCTTCTGCTCTTCCCTCCCTTTTCTGCCTGACACACACCTACTTATATTTTAAGTCCTTGCTTAGCTGTTGCCACCTATTCAATATCATCTCTGGATTTCCTGTACACATACTCTGTTTTCCAGGATTGCATTGCACTTTGCTTATATTTTCTTCATAGCATACACAGTTCTGTATTACAGTTGCTATTAGAAGATTAAGAGTAGGTTATCTACATACACATTTGCCTCTCGTACTGACTGTGAGTGTAAAAGCAAGAATCATGCTATATGTGCCTTTGGGTCCCAAGTCTCTAGTTTAGTGCCTCATACAATGTCAGCAGTCTGCAAGCAGCTATTTGAATCAGGGAGGAGGAGGAGAAAAGGAGAGAGAAGAAGAAAGTAAGGGAGTAAATGGGTGGTGCCCTTCATTTTCTCTCTTAACAAGGAAAGTTCCTTTTAATTAGTTCTATCCTCCATCATGAGCACCTACAGAGTGCCATCCTGAATCTAAAAATGTAAAAAGCCAGACTTTGCCACCAAGGAACTCACAGCCTAGAAGATGAGGAAAAACAAGCCAAGATAATTATAGTGTAATAAAGGTTTACTGCACATTCTCTCCTGGTTGGTATTTTTGCAGCAGAGATCTTTCTGAGCCCCCCACCCTTTCTTCTCACATAAATCACTGCCAACTTTAAGTCTTGGTCTCCCCATGTACCTCTCAGATTAATTTTCTATCATGTCACACCCAGGTTGAAAAGGCTCAGGGAAGAAAATGCACCTCCCTCACTCTGGAATTCAAGGTTCCTCACATCTGCCTGTCACCTGTTCTCTAACATCACACATCCCATTACTTCCCACTCCTATGACTCCTCTTCCATCAAGGAAGACTTTGACCTTCATCTTACGGGCAATTGGAAGCAGATGAGATGATTAGATTGGCATCACAGAAACATTTTTCTGGCAGCACAGACGTTTGAAGGGGCAAACTGAAAGACAGGAAACCCTTGAGGAGGGCAGAGCAAGAGACAACAGGGCCTGGGATAGTTAAGGTGGGATCAGGGTTAAGATTTAAAAATATTAAAGAGTTGTATTAAAGGATTGGGTGGCCCAAAATGGCAGAACTGAAGAGAAAAGAGAATCAAATATGATTCTGAAATTCTTAGCCCAGTAAAGTAGTAGAAAAAAGAATATTTCACACAGAAAATTTAAGAGGAAGAACATGCTTTGGAGTGTCAGTGAAGTATGCAGGGTGTGATGCCCAGAGGAGCAGGTGATGACTGGTCAGAGCTTAACAGAAAGGTGAGGAGCAGTGATGAAGGCTCATGTTTGTTCACATAGAGGAGGGAGGTGAACACAAAGCGTCGCCTGGCTGGCTGTAAAGGAAGAAAAGAAGATGCCACAAATTAAGGAACAGGCAGAGAGCCCTGGCCAGTGTGGCTCAGTTGGTTAGAGTGTTATCCCATGCACCAAAAGATTGGGGGTTCAATTCCCAGTCAAAGCATAGACCGTGGTTGTGGGTTCAGTCCCTGGTAGGGGCATGTATGGGAGGCAACCAATCAATGTTTTTCTTGCTCTCTTTTTTCCTCTCTCTCGCTCTCAGATCAATACACATATTTTTAAAAAAGAAGAACATATGGAGATATTAGACCCCAGGAAGGGAACTGATACAAAGCTGGAAGAACACAGGAGAAACAGGTGTGTGATGTGAGGTCAACTCCACCAAAAGCCCCCCAAAAGTCAGAGAATAGGTCTTGGGTGAATTTCTGGAGAGGAATGTCAGCTGAATGTTTGAGGTGGGAGTCAAATTGTTGGGTTTGAAAAGTATCTAGAGATGATTTGGTCTGGCATACCTACAATATTAAATTAATGAAAACCAAGGGGAAATGCCTCTTACAAAATGAAGGTAAATATGATGATGAACTCCTTTAACTTGACCTTATCTGAGAAGCAGTTTATCTGCCCTTCCATTCTAAATGAAGGCTTTGCTGGATAGAACAATCTTGGATGTAGGTCCTTGCCTTTCATAACTTGGAATACTTCTTCCCAGGCCCTTCTTGCCTGTAAGGTCTCTTCTGAGAAATCAGCTGACAGTCTGATGGTAACTCCTTGGTAGGTAACTGTCTCCTTATCTTTTGCTGCTTCTAGGATTCTCTCCTTCATTTTTACCTTGGCTAGTATAATTATGATATGCCTTGGTGTGTTCCTTCTTGGGTCCAACTTCTTTGGGACTCTCTGAGGTTCCTGGACTTCCTGGAAGTCTGTTTCCTTTGCATATTTGAGAAGGCCACTGCTGCCTGCCCTTCTAAAAAGTAAGTTGACATAAGACCATGCTATTTTTTGTGTGTATGAAGGACTTTCAAGATAACAGAAACATAATTGGTTGCTAGGACTAGTAGTAATGTGGAATATAACCACATAAGTGGGCATGAAAATCAAAGTGAATACATAGAAATTGAAGAGCAACAAAAGGGTACTTACAGTATAAGCAAATTGTTTGGTTCTTTGAATAAAATGTTTGCGAATATCACTTGCTGAGTTAGCATAAAATTCAAATATTCCAGTTATTCCAAAACCAACCCTGAAACTAGATTTGCTGGTTTCCAAACTTGAAGTATTACGTTCATAATCTGAGTATGATTCATATTCTGTCAGTGTAAAGTCATATTTGCCTTGGGTCTAAAGGAACAAAAAAGAACAGGTTTTTATTTTATTTGATTCACGTCAGTTCAGTAAAAGCCCACAAACATCCACCATACTCTTACTATGTGCCAGACACTGGAGCGGGTACTCTAGATATAAGAAACTCAAAGCCAGCTCTGTCCCACCCCCCAGGGCTCCTGATCCAGCAGAAGAAACAGAGGTGTTCAATACGGGGAGGAGATATTTAGAACTGAGTGCTTGGCTTGGATTTGAATTGGCAGAAAGGTAGGAGAACTTTTGGGCTGTGGACTTGGCTTAGGCACAGGCATGGAGGTGGGAAAGGGCAGGATGTATTTAAAAACCGCACGGGTTCTAGTGTGGTTGCATCAGAAGACATGACAGTGAGGAGAAGAGAGGGGTGTTATGAGAGAATGTGCTGCTATACAAATGCTGAGGCTTCTGGATGACTTGCTCTGAAGTTGGACTTAATCCAAAGAGGAGCTGAACCTCAAGAAGATCATTCTAGGAAAACATAGTGGTTGGATGGTAGGGACAACTTTGGGGTCAGAGAGATAAGCCAATGAGGAGGCTGTAAGAGGAATACCAGACAGGAAATGAGGGTCTGACCAAAGATGGTGCAGTGGGGACGAGGTGACAAGGGTGGGGAGATGCCCTTGAGAGACCTCAGAAGAGCTCCCTGCTTAAAAATCAGGGCTGACTGTTTTGTGCTCAGGGGAACTGCCAGGGGTACTGCCTTGGTGGCCCTGGAGTGACCAGTCCCAAACTCTCTCCACCCCTACCCCAACAATCATCAGCTTCTAGACACTTGAGTTTCCATAACACCTCAGCTGCCAGTACAGAGGCATACATGATCCCGGTTGCCCGTTGGGGCCTAGAATAAGGCTGCCATTTTCAGGCTGGGTGACCTTGGACATCTGACTTCATCTGTCCATGCCTCAGTTCCTTCATGTGTAAAATGCAGGCAATAATTATTCCTGCCACTGGGCTTGTTCCAAGAGTTGCGTTTATATGGGTAAAATACTGTACAGCACCTGGCACAGCACTCAAAAAAAGTTGGCTACAAAGAGGGGAGACTAAGATATACAAGTGTGGGCAAAAGTAGGTTTACAGTTGTGAGTACATGCAACAGAGTTTATTCTTGTATTATTGATTAACTATTGCATTATCTTCCATACAAACAACTGTAAACCTATTTTTGCCCCCCCCCCCCATATACCCTGCCTGGGCCTGGTTGATCAACGGCTATCCTAAGATCCTCTCTGGGAAGTACAGGCTGTGGGGAGGGCCCTGGCCCCATGAGGGAGGGTGTTTGTCCCAGGCTCCCTTTTTCTCTGTTGGCCAATAAGTCCGTGTGGGGACAATGGGAGCAGGAAGGGCAGTGGGTGGGGTAGTGGCTTGAACTCCAGGAATGCACGGTTTTTGAAGTGGAAACTACCATGAAGGTCGTCTAGTCCAGCCCCTCATTTCACAAATGAGGAGAGAGAGGCCCAGAGCAGAAAAGGAACTGAGGCTGAAGTAAAACTGGGACCAGGGGCAGAGCCAGGCCTTGGGCCCCAATGTCTTCTCAGACCTTAAGTGTATGTCATTCACAGTAACACAGTCTGTTCTAAACCCTGCTCTCTGTGAGAACGCTTTTCAGTTTGCGTGTGCCTCACAACTGCTGCTGTTAGTAGAGCTTTGTACGACTTCGAATGCTTAGAACAATGCCCGGCTCTAACAGGTAAGGACTTGGTAACACCACGAGTTAACATTCCCAAGGGCCACCATTCAGTGGGTGTGCTGAGCGCTTACCACGTTCCTGAAGTAGTCCTCTCCCCACAGGGTAGAACCTTTGTAACTCTCAGTTTGAAGATGGGGAGAGGGGATTAGTCAAAGAACATATATGAAGGACCCATGGGCATAGACAAAGGTGTGGGGATTGACTATGGGAGTTGGGGTATGGGCTGGGTGGAGGGGGCAACGAGGGAAAAATTGAGACAACTGTACTAGCATTAACAATAAAATATTTAAAATAAATAAATAAATAAATATAGACAGACAGACAGACAGACAAGAAAAGGGAGACTCGGAGCATTTAAGATTACATAGAGGGAAATTGCAGAGCCATCACATCAGTGAGACTCCACATCCTGAGCTATTCTTCTGTTTTCCTGGTAGCTTTGATATTGTTAGTACAATTACTGCTACTACAACTGTTGCTCTTACTCTGTGCAGCATGGCAGCCTCACCCCATGTTGTGAGGAAGGAACTGCCCACTTTACACATGAAGAATTGAAGCGCAGAGAGATAAAGGGATGCCCGAAGCTCGCCCAGTTGCAGGCTGCAGGCCTGGCCTCTCAGCCGTGCTGGCCAGCTTCTCCCTAAGTGCTCACTGCCCTGCAGGGACCTCCTGGCTGCCACATACCTGTGGGGTGTAGCTCTCCACGTTGTGCGGCTTCCTAAACCTCGTGTTCAGAATGTAATGAGGGGAGCACGCACCGGCGTAATACCTGTGATCAAGAACTGGGCCCTCCAAACTGTTTGTGAACAAATTAACCCTGCAGAAAAGTCATGGAGAGGAAGAAGAGGGGTGGGTAAGCAGCGAGCTGTGTGATTTTAACTGGTAGACCTACCAAAGAGTAGGTGGTCCTACAGAATTTCTTGGCATGGCATTCAAGGCCCTTGATAGCTGGTGGGAACCAGCTTTCCCACTTCATTTCTGGCCACTCCCACCCACAACCTACCCTAGTCCCTCGCTCCTTCTCTTATGTATACGTGCTGTTCCTTATGCCTGGAATGCCCTTCCAGCCATTTACCATTTTTTTCCCTTATCTTTTGAGATCGAGCCCTGCCATTGCCAGTTGTGTGAAGCCTTCACTGACACTTGTATCACGCTGGGAGAGAGGCCTTCCCATTGTGCTTGTCCCATTCATGCAGTTATTGTTCTGTGCTGTTACAGTCGCCTTACAAGGGCGGTCTAGCATAACAGGTAAGAACACAAATTCTGCAGCCAGAAGCCTGGGTCAAATTCCTGGTCTGTCATTTACGAGTTACATGACCTTGGCCACACTGGTTAACCTCTCTATACCCGAGTCTCCTCATCTATAAAATGGGAACAAGGAGAATACCTACCTTATGCGGCTGTTGGGAGGAATGCACATGTCATATTTGTTAAGTGTTTAGAATACTGCTTGGTCCATGATAAATGCTTGTTATTAATTATGTGTCTGGTGTCCCCACTGGATTGTCTGCCCCTGGAGGAGGGGAGTTTTCTTCTGAATTTCTGTATGACCCACATCATGAGACAGTAAAATAATTAGCATTTACTGAGGTCTAACTGAAACAGACATGGTAGTGTTGTGGTGACCCAGTGCAACACCTCAGTGTGCCCGAAGCCCTGGGCAGTACACATCATTGTGTCCACTTAGAATGGATGGAAATCCTGCCTGTAGTTAGACATTATCGCTCACTGCATCCTGTGGCCCAGGTCTGACTGCTACCGAAAGTTCTTTTTGCTGTTGTTGAAAGGAGCTGTCTCCTTTAAGCTTCTACACATTGGCCTCGGTTCTGTTCCCAACAGAATTGTCTCAAGCTCTTTTCCCTATGGCAGAATGTCACGTGTCATTAAAAAAATTGTATATTTATTTTATTTAACAAATATAATGTTGTGCTTACTTTGTGGAGACACTGTAATAGTCAATTTACACACTTTGGCTCATTTAATTCTAATGAGATAGGGGTTATTATTATTAGACCTATTTAACAGATGAGGAAAGTGAGGCACAGAGAAGGCAATTGACTTTCCAGAAGCAAGTAGTGGGGCCAGGATTCTGTCTGAGCGACTAATTCAAGAACAGAGGCTGCATTCTTCCCACCACACAAGCTGCCTCTCACTTACCAGTTTCTTACAATTACATTAGCTTCCTCAGTCCTCCTAGAACTCAGAGGAAGGGTTTTACTGCCTCTCTTCTACAGATGACAAAACTGAAGCCTCCCACAGATAAGTGCTTCACCCGAGGTATTGTGGCCAGGGAGCTCGGACCTTCACTAGTCAGAGCTAGGCAGTAGACTGAGACAAGTCCACTGCCTAGCTCTGAATGTCCACTGCTGGCTCTGAATGTCCACTGCTGGCTCAGAGCGGAGGACAAGTCTCCGCTCTGTCCTCTGAGACAGCCATGTGACCCTTGGGAACTGTCTTAACTTTTCCAGGTCTCAGTTTCCTTACAGAGGAGGTGGGGGTTATAATAATAAGCATGTAGGTGGCCTTGAGAGGATGTCTTCCCCATGTGAGGAGTCTCTTTCTCTCTTGTTCAAATAACAGCCTTTTAAGATCTCGATTCGATTTTTGTTTAGGAAGACGGTGAATCCTAGCAGGGCCGCTGCTCTCCTCCCCACACTCTGTCACCTACAGGGATTTTTAAAGCCCGTGAGGGGAGCTTCTCACTCTGCCCCCTAGAGGCCATGGAACTGCAGAATGGGGCAAGCGAGCCGGGCAAACACCAGGCCCGTTTGGTCCCTTCTGACCCAGCTCCTCTGACCGTGCCAGAGGACTGGACCCACTCAGAGACCCTCAGCAGCTTGAAACACAGATTGACCGCAGACCCAACCTGGAAATCCATTCCTTCATTAACCACTTAGGAGCCTCTCCTCTGGGCCAAGACCCTGTGCTAGGGCCCAGGGTTACAGAAGCAGATAAAACTTCCTGCACAACTTGGTGATGAGATTCAAAGGCAAGGCTTAGAAAGCCCCTCACATGGTCACAGAGCAGGGACTAAATGCACACGTGTCCCCGGGGCTCATGCGGAGCTTCTGTGGTCTCCAAGCACAACTCTGTCCCTAGTGTTCCCAACGTGGCCCTCCTCGTGGCCCCTGTGTGTTGATGGGAGGTGCTCCTGTGGCTCCTCGGAACTGTCCTCAGAGAGCAGCCATTTACATCCACTTACACCACAGTCTTTGTCAGAAAGGCGAAAAGAAACAAGTCTTTGCACATCAGCTTCTACTTCTTTAGAATCACATTTAATGTGCCTTCCCATCTATACCATAGAAACACAGTAACTTACCCACTAGCCAGATTGTCAATTGCCCAGTACTGGTCCAGTTCTTGCAAACACTTTTTATAAATCTTTTTACAGTTTGCCTCATCTGACTGGTCCCCACAGTCGTTGTCCCCATTGCAAAGAAGTCTGCGGTTTATACACCTCCCTGGGATGGAAAAATGATGTCACACATAGTTATAGGGCTGTCAGAGGGGAACTCCTGTACTATGAGCACCTACTGGGCAGCAGGCACCTTTTAGACCTTTAATACTTTGTTGGACACATATCACAGTGGGTTGGTAATGGCTTTTACATTTCACTCCCCCAAAGATGCCAGTGCTGTATGTCTGAAAGCACTTCGAGGGGGGATTATTAAGGGAGGGCAAAGGTGCCTGGTAGGTAGAGGTTGAGTGGACTTCCCTCCCTGAGGCTGGGGAGAGAGGTGGGTTTGGTGGGTCCTGCAAATCATACCAGCTATGTGACCTTCCTTATGTTACCTAACCCCCTACCTCAATTTACTCATCTGGAAAACAGGTAAGTCGTCATACCCACCTACCCCTAGGGTTGCTGGGAATTTAAATGAGTAAACAGAACAGTACTGACTCATGGTGCATACCCACTGGGTGTCATTATTACTATAATTAGTGTTTTTTGTGGGCCAAGGGCACATTGCTGATAAATTTCTGCTGCAGGATTGGAACCTATAACTACCTAATCACAATTATTTCCAGTAAACCACACTGCCTTCAAGACTATTGCCATTTGAACTATTTTTCAACTATAAAAGTATTTGGACTACATGTTTGAAATTATTTACAGCACTTGACTAACTTGACTTCCTCTATTATTTGTATATTATTGGGGGATGAAGCCCATAATACAGGCGACCCTACTTTCTTAGATGTGTCTGCTCAATTTTAACCAATGTTCTTGTGATGTTAAAGGCAGAAGAATAACAATCTGGTCCTCAAATGTTTCTTACAAGGCATTAAACTAAAGCCGGCCCGAATGACCATTATGACTTTTGTCAGAATCATGGAACGCTGGCCATAATGAGTGTGTGGACACACTGTAAAACAGTCTTCCAGATTTATTGGATGGAAGTTTGCATTTGCAATGAGCCTTAGAAATTGTCCTACAAATCCCTAACTCTTTCTTGAAAGATCCCACAGCATAGTCCACATGGTTACAGTAAGTATAGAGACTCGTAGCTCCTATCTAGATAATTTGGGTCAACCAAAATACTCTTATTTTTGCTGGACACTTGCAGAAATAGAGACACATGTGTTTGCTTGAATGAGCCAGATGAATGGGTTGAAAAGATAGGCGTTTACTTAGTCCTGCAGCTGTTGATTATTTATTTGTGTACTCCTTTCTTCCTTCTATCTGTCTACCAATGTGTCCTTTTTTTTTTCCTTCTTTCCTTCTTTTCTTCCAAAATGCTTTTGCTGACATAGCATGCCTTAGGGGTTATGCTGGACTTGGGGATGCACAAATGCAGAAGACAAGAATTGACCCTCCAAAGATTTTTCAGAGATCACTGATGCTAACCACCCTTATTTAACTGTTTCAGGCTCTGCCTCTGACAGAGCCAGTTCAGCTCCAGGTCTGAAAAGAGCTATCACACCCATCATGTCACTTGAAACTGCTAACAAACTTGTAAGGTAGTAATGTCACTTTGGATTTTCTGTTGTGAGAACCAACATGCAGAAAAGTTAAGTGACTTCTCCCAAGTCACAAAGTCAGAAAGAGACAACAGGATTTCTGATTCCCGTACACATCCTTTGGGTGTCCTTAATGTCTGTGAATGTGATTGGAATCCCCAAATTTCTAACTGTGGCTTTTCCACCTACCTACTGTATAACCTTCAGCAAGTAACTCCTCCAAGTGTCAATTTCTTAGTGTGTAAAATGGGGATAATAATTAACACCACCTTTACAGGATTGTTTTGATGAAACAATACATGTAGAAGGAGGTAGAGATTTGAAGAGATAAGGAGGCCTCCTCACCTGACACATGGCTCTGGTTTTGAGCACTAGGCAAGGGCTGGCACCACCGTCATCACGTGCTACTGCCTAATTTGCTAGCTTCCCCCTCCCACTCCCGTGTCCCTTTGTACCTGTCTGTGCACACACAATGCCTTCACATCGCACTTGACTTCGGCATGGTGCACTGGTAACACAGTCTTCGGCTTCCTTGTCAGAGAATCTGCATGGGTCCCCATGGAACTGAGAGGGTCGCAGCAAGGTGGCATGTCGGTACTGGAGCGGAGAGATTCCAGGTGAGCCGAGGGCTGAAACTCATGGACCTTGGGTGCTTAGGGATATGTGCTTAAGGCTCCGCATTGCAATGGCTGCATACCTATTTCAACTGTGCTGTGAGCTTCCTGCAGGCAGGGGCCTTGTCTGATCTCTGCATCTGCAGTGATCAGTAGAGGTTTGCTGAACGTGGGGAAAGCATGGGCTCTGGAACTGTCAAAGGTGATAAGTAGATTGATGGGGCCCATTCAATAGCATGAAGCCACCATCTCAGCTTGATTATTCCACCGGGCTGTTTCAAGTATTCCCATTTACTTCAGTATCTTATAAATGCAAAAGCATGCACTTGGGAGCCACAACAGACTCTGATACTTTCTAGTTCTGTTGGCCAAGTTCTTAACTTCTGTGATCTCAGTTTACTGATCTTTAAAATAGAGATAATTAATTACATAAAGGTACAGTTGTGAAGTTTCAATTACATATGTGATGTATATATGAAATCTCATTATGTTTTCTGGTACATAGTAGGCACTCAATTTCTGGTACTTACTTTTCTTTTTCATTATTAATAACCATTAGCAGTCAATCTTTATCTCTACGTTCCAGTTTATTTATTTCAGGAGTATTGATTGAATTTCTAAAATATTGATTGAACCACCCAATGGTTAAGAAAAAAGGTAGGTATTATTTGTGCTTGCTTGTTTTGTTTGTTTTTAATCATAATTTGCCCCCTGGGCTGCCCTCAGGGAGGTCACAGGTGATGGTAGGCACCAGGCTGTGAGGTGGGTGGTCTGACAAAGGAAGTACACAGTGGTCTGTGATGCATAGGGGCATTCCCAGTGCACACTTAGGAGATGGAAAAGTGACATCTAAAATGAGCCCTGAAGGATGAACAGAAAGGTTGGGCAAGCGTGGAGAGAGCTGTGAGGGAAAGAGGAGAGCAGTCTGGGTAGAGGTAACTGCTGTGCCAAAGCTGAGAGACTAGAGAGAACCAGCCTTGTTCCTGGAAGTGGGATTCATCATGGCTGGAGTGAAGAGTGCAAGAGGGAGAGAGGCAAGAGATGGGGGAAGACAGAGCAGCAGCAGGCAATGCAGGGCTTTCCAGACCCCAGTAAGGGTGGATTTAGTGTTTCATTACGGGGCAATGAGCAACCACAGCGGGGGAAGGAAGTAATCCAATTTGGGTGGCTTCCAAATGCCAGTTACAGTCAGGATTCTGGTGAAACAGAAAGGGACAAACCACGCTCGCAGCCCCTTTGCAGAATGACACGTCCACCAGCTGCAGCTATTAACTGTATACACTCTGGAGATCCAAAAAAATTTTTAAAAGTATAGACGACCATTCACCTATGCTCCTCTGCATTGCCAGAGGGTCTGTCTTCCTAGAGGGCAGAGGCTGGCTGGACAGGAACAAGGTCTGAAAGGAAGACCGTGAGAAGACTACCCCCGGCCACTGAAGGAAACATTGGTTTGAGGAGTGTGGCGATGCTGGAGGAAAGACATCTCCCAATTCCAGTTTGGAAGGTTTGATGTCTCCTCTCCCTCCAGCCAGTGACCCTGCTGACAGCGATGATGTCAGCTGAGGGAAGTGTGTGGTGAACTCTGAGTGAAGAGCTCTGGATGGCTGGGGGAATGGGTGGCTCATGCTGAGTCCTCCTGGTTTATGGTGCAGATGAAGCAATTATCCAGATAATTGGATCAATGTTGATAACTTCAGCAATAAAGCCTACTTTGGGAACCAAATGATCCTGCTTGGCTCTCCACATCGATCCAATTAAGTGTGTAATTGTCCCGGGCCCCTAGCCCACGGTTGGTTTGGTTTCCTAGGGAGCTGGGGAAATGGCAGCCGTTCTCTGACACATCTGCTGCTCTCAGTGCTGGGATCCCGGGTCAGCTCTCCTGCGACAAGGGAGCAGGAAAGACAATACTGCAGAGACTACGTTTTTGATTGGTGGAACACTAGACAAGAAGCCTGTGGCCTGAGTTCAATGCCTGAATTTGCTACTAGGTGAACCTGAGAACGCAATTACCTCTCTGTTTACCTATCTGCTTAATAGAGAGTGTAATAACTATTCTCCCTTCTTTACAAGGATATCAGAAAATACAATGAGATCAAACAACACATATTTATGGAACACCTATCATGTGGAAGAAGTTGGCTTACGTAATGAAGATAAAATATTGAGTAAGCCTTTAACAGCTCACAGTTTCATGGAAAGCTAAATAATAAAAGAACAGTAAATGATAAACACAAGGATACCGGAAGAAGAGGGAGCTATTATATATCATAAAACGGTGACTCTCTAACTGTGAGTGGGGTTGAAAAATCAGGGAAGGCTCCTCAAAAAAACTGGTCCCTAAGCAGGGTTTCACACTGTGAGTGGGTGTTAGCCAGTAAAGGAAGAGGGAACAGTCACTCCGCCTGGGAGAGCAGCATGAAAAAAGGCACAGAGAGAAGGTGCTACGGTCAGGGAAATACAAGTGTTCAGTGTGCTGGAGTGGGGGATGTTTTATGGAGATGTAGGCCAGGCCTAGTCATGGGGTCTAGCCTTTAATACCACAAGCATGGCCTTGATCCTGAGGACCATGGGCAGACGTTGAATGATTTCAGGCTGGGGAAAGGCAGGACAGACTTGCAGTTTTGATGCCTCCCTCTGGCTGCATGAGGAAAGATGGATTGAAAGGGCAAGGTTGGAGGCAAGAAGCCTAATTAGGAAGCTGTTAACATGAGCAAGGACACATAAGTTTAGAAAAAAACCTGAAAGAGCAAAGAAAGAATGTAATTGCTACTTGGCAGCACAGAGGAATGGAATTAATTCATTAAATCAGCCAATGTATACAGAGGACCTACTATGTGCCAGGCACTGGCAGTAGTGCTTCAGCCAATCTTGCTGAGGATTAAGGTTCCTCGAAGCTTAGAGATCTCTCAAGGCCTAGGTACTTACCCTTTTCTTCTGACAGGGATCACACCTGGTCCAGGAGGACCAGCTGGACAGTTCACAATCAATAGGCATCAGGGTGACATCCACACTCCGTGTCTGCCTACTCTTGGAGAGGCTCCCATTGACTGCATTTGACTCAAGAGAGGGTGGCCTTTCACCTCTAAAAAGTCATCATGAGAGAAGAAAGTCAAATATCAGATGGGAGTTAAATATACATATAATCACCTATCTATCTAGTCAATAAATATATGTTTGCTCATTTGTGCACAGCTATTAGTTTGTCATTCAAGTATAGGTTAATTCAGCTAACAAATATTTATTGAATACCCAGTGAGTGCCTCGCATTATGGCTAGCTGTGGTCTAAAGTGTATTGAACTTGTATCAGAAGACAGTCCATCAGATTTCTCAACAGGGACTTTGAAGGCCAGAAGGGACTGGCAAGAAGTATTCAAAGTGATAATAGGTAAGGACCTACAACCAAGATCACGTCTATCCAGCAAAGCTATCATTTAGAATGGGCAGATAAAGTGCTTCCCAGGCAAGAAAACGCTAAAGGAATTCATCACTACCCAAGAAGTATTACATGAAATATTAAAGGGTCTGCTTTAAGAAAAAGAAAAAAAGATAAAAATATGAACAATAAAATGACAAAATTACATATCTATCAACAATTGAATCTAAAAAACACAATGTATGAACAAGCAGAACAGAAAGAGACTCATAGATACAGAGAACATTTTGACAGTTGCCAGATGGGGGGGGAGTTGGGGGGATGGGTGAAAAAGGTGAAGGGATTAAGAAGTACAAACTGGTTGTTTCAGAATAGTCATGGGGAAGACTGGGAATTAAACTTTCAGAAACATTTTATCTCCCTTAAGTTGCCCTTATCCCACTTAACTTCCCACCACAACCACATACTTCTTGATATTTTAAAAAGACAGATTTATAGTCTAAGAAAATAACCTTTTTAGATTGCTAGACTATGTACTATAAACTTTGATATGATAACTTCAGTTTGGGCACATGACTCCTCTCAGAGTCTAATTGCCAAAAATAAGTTGGTTTCCATTGCTTTTGTCAGAATATGGCTTTCCAAGTAAGAGCCACCCAAGTACTTCTATCTGGAATAGAACTACCCAGTATAAACCAAGGAACCCCTGTGCACGATTCTATAAATTTAAAACATTTCTTCAGCTAATGATTTCAGATAAATTAGCTACTTAGTGTATTACCTTAATATCAAACATTCTAAGTAATAGTAGGATTTAAGAAATTGGTATTTACCAACTATGCATGAAATGCTTCTTCCCCCACTCCCCGCAGCTCTCAAGCTATATATATTTAAAATAAATGTCAAGTATTCACTAGTTCCTATTAAAACGGGAGAAGAAGAGAAGACAGTCCATCAGCAGCTGGGTCATCTTGGTCTGGTTTTACAACCTGTGTGAGCTTCACTTTTCTCATTTGTATGATGAGAAAATCATACCCAGCCCACAAGACTATTTCTAGGATAAAATTAAATGTATGTGAGAGCACTGGGTAGACAGTGCAGGGAGTACAACCAGCTGGATGTAAGATCTTAAGCAATTCTCTCCCCAGCTCTGAGCCTCTGTTTTCATGGCCTAGAGAGGGAGAGGTGTGAGCCTCCCTTTCAGGGAGGGAGAGGTGTGCAGTAGGTGTTCTTCAGGGTGCCTCTCACGATAACAGTCTATGAGACATTTCCTGAGAACAGACCATACTCAGGGCGCTGTGCTACAGGAGATGCAGAGAACTACATATACCACACAGGTTCTGCCTTCTGGAACTCAGAGTCTGCCTTCAAGTAGGAAAAGAGAAACATATGTCAGCTCTTCCAGAATCTGCCCAGTAGGCAAGATTTCAAAACCTAGTCTCCATGGCCACCGCTGTGCTTTAGGACATCACTGTGACTGCCAAGGGGAGGCTGCACAGGGGTGGGGAGAGGCTGGAGGCAGGAAACACAGGTCGATGGCTTGTGCAGTCGGCCTGATGCGTGACATGAGCCCGAGGTATGGCAGTGTGGGGGGTAGAGAATGGGAAGGACAGACGTAGGAGATGTTTCTCCGGTGGAACAGATAGTCAGTGATGGGTAATCGGATGGGGTCTGGGTTAGGGAGAGGGGTTTAGGTTGATGCTGGTTTTCAGGCTGAGTGTGTGGGTGGGTAGGCAACACAGGAACAAAGGAGCTTATTGGGGGAGATGTGTGTGGAGCATGCTGAGTCCCAGTTGCCCACAGAACACCTATGTGGAGTCATCCAGTAAATGGCCCCTGCGTAGCTTTAGAACCAGGGGTGAGATTTGCACTACAGATACGCACAAACCTGATCATGAAAAGTGGTCAGAGAGGATATGATTGTTTTCTCGAGGATGATCAGATCAGGGGTGAGCTCTTGGGGAGCTTCAGCAGCACCAGAGGACAGGAGAGACTGCGCCCTGCTGTCCAGGTGCGACGTGCGTGCAGAAGTGAAGGGGACGGGGGCAGCCTGGGGGCTGAGCGGGGACAGGCAGACAGTGTCACGTCTGCTGAGCAGTCAGGCAACGGGAGGCCTCAAGTACGTCTTGGAGACAAGGCTGTGCTGGTTTGCTAAGTTCCCAACACGAGGTGGGACACTCAGTCCAAGAGTGAATGAATGACTTAATCTGACTAGGCCTCCAGCTTCCCCAGGTAGTATGATGGGTATATGATGAATCTTCTTTTTCTTCCATCTGAAAGAGTGTGCAATGCTGTAAGATTCTTTGTAGTTGATGTTTTTTTTTTTCAAGGCACAAAAAGGGAAACAAATGTGAAGAGAAGAGAAAGAGCACTGAGGTTTGCTGAGTGCCTAGGGTGTGCCCTACCCTGTGTGAGGGTTTTCTGCCTGAGCTTTCCTTGAACGATGGCCACAGTGCTACACAGCAGCTCTGCAGCACGGCTGCCTGGCTGAGCAGGGGGATGGTCTAGAGCCCTGCAGCTGGTAGGTGTGGCCATGGGGTCGTGGGCTTGACTCTGGAGTCTGTGCTATGCTTCTGCCCCATGCAGCCTGGAAGGGAAGTGGACCAGTGTCCACTCCACCAGTCCCCACGGTCTCTGTGCCTCTTTCATTGCTGTGTCCAAGACTCAGTCATTAGGAAGAGAATCACATTGTTTCCACTGTCTCAAATACACTGGCTATCACTCCAGACAAGGTCATTAACCAACACATTCTCACTTGGCAAAAGAGGATAATATTAACTACAGTGAAATCTGTCTCCATGACCACCCCAGAGACCTGCAAAAATCAATTGCCTAGTAAAGTTAGATCTTTAACAAAAGGTCAAAGACTCCACTAGAAACCACAGGTGGACACTTTAAAATGGTAACTTGAGGCAGGATGCTGCACACCAGTGGGATGCAGGGGGCACTTCAGAGTGTGTTTTTCTACTTATTGGCCCAGGTTTGAGAAAACAACATTGTGATTTGGCTGCTCCTCGGTGTGTATTTGACAGCACTGCTGGCTGCTGGGTGTCCTCTTCCTGTTTCAGCTGAGAAACAGTGGCTCTGGCCAAGTAGGCCAGTGGATTAGAGCGTCGTCCCAATACGCCAAGGTTGCGGGTTTGATCCCTGGTCAGGGCACATACAAGGAGTGACCAATTTATGCATAAATAAGTGGAATAACAAAACCTATGTGTCTCTCTCCCCCCTTCCTCTCTCTCTCTCTCTAAAAAAAATCAATTAGAAAAAGAAACAGTTACATTGTGTTTTTAGCAACTATCAATCCAATTTCAGACTATACTTGAGACTGAGTTGATAAGTAATGTGTGCACTTGCTATTAAAGAGTAGCAATTACTTCCTTCTCTGACATTTGAAAGCCTGTTAATGGGCAAGATGATCGCTTATAGAAGGAACTTCGTAAAAAGTAGTTTTAACCAGCAGATCTCTTGTTTTTGCACCCAATTTTCATTACGGAGGTGGCAATATAAGAAGTAATCAGCTGAATAAACAGTATGTCTGTAAATTACATTGGATGATATGTGCGTGGCTTATAACTACTACAAAATGCAAATTTGAAAGCTAGTATTAAATTGCATCTTTAATTCCTAGGAACAGCATGGAGCCAGGAAAGGGCGGGGCCCATCCAGCCCTGGTGCGTGGTCACAACACACGCTGCTCCCCCTGTGCATTCCCACAGGAACAAACCACGTGCACGTTTAGACCGACCGACCTGACTGCTGTCATTCCAGAGCCTCTGGTTTCAATGCTGAGAAATTAGAGAAGCACAGAAAATAAAACCATAAACACTCATGAACTCATGGCCCAGAACTGGCAATTGTTAACATTTTGGTATACTTCAAGTTTTTTCAAATAAGAAATAACTCTGCAAGTTTAATATCTGAGTTTTACACCTGACCCAATTCCATTTCCTGTTCTCTGTAGAGGGAAATATTGTCATGAATTTGGCATGTATCCCTCCAGTCTTTGAAACAGTGTGTGTGTGTGTGTGTATGTGTATACATATACATATACACATACACACACACACATACACCCCACCTACCTATATACACAATACCTAGTTTTGCTTTTGTGTACTCGACTCATACTATCCACATTATTCTGCAACTTGCTTTTGTCAGTCAACATTGCATTTCTGAGGCCTATCCACATTGGTTTATAGAGACCTAGTTCCTTCCTTTTACTTAGATGTTCTATCATAGAGTATATATTGCATTCAATTTAGTCATTTCCTTTTTGAAGGACATTTACTTTTTCCCAGTGTTTTGCAACTACAAGTAATGCTACAGTAACACCTTCTACAAGTCCTTGGAACGTATCCCTCCACATAAACACTGGCAAGGATGTCCCTGTCCCTGAGGTGCACAGGATGCTGTGGCCAGCAGTAGGACGTATTTCACTGTGTCCCCGTCTCCTAAACTCTTTCTAACAGGAGTCTGTGATCAGAATGAAGGTGGATGCATCAAGTACCGCAGGATTAGGTCAGTAGTGAATGGCGAGCCATCAGCGTGTACAGGCGGCACACGTCAGCATGGTTTGGCTCCTAGAAATGCCCCAACACAGCGACTCTCTTATCACACAGTTTGTTAGGCAACTGCGTCCCCTTTGCAAATAGCATCATTCTTCTTTCCTCACAGGGACAGCTTCTGGGCGGCAGATTTTCAATTTCTCCTTTCTCCGCTCCTTGCTGTTGAGGACATGAAATTTAATGCAGCATCTCAAGGCAACAAACGTATGGCCCAGAGATAGGGAAGTGGCACAGGAACCCAGCACGTCAGATGCACGTGCAGGAGGAGAGGGGATGATGCATGAGCAGGGATGCACACGGGCTCTGGGGCCAGAAAAACCTGGATCTGAATCCACGTTCTGTTACATGTGGAGTGAGTAGCCTCGTGGCAGTTACATCCTCCCTCCAAAGCTGTTTTCCTCTCGGTGAACTGTAAGCAGCAGCACATGCCTCAAAGAGCTGTGAGTGTCAGAGCTCATGTACCTAGTGCCTGGAACAGAGGGGCCACGAAGACGCAGTCGGTCTTACGAGGACCATGTGATGATTACGTCATCTGACTTGATTACAGGAGTAACCGGAAATGAAAACTCTCTTAGCTGATATGAAGGAGGTCTCAGCATTTTCTGTCCCGGAACTGAAGGCTGTTCTCCCACTTCGTGTGTGGAGACACATGCCGTGTTCAGGACTGCCCAGCAGGAGTCAGGGGTGGAGGCTAGAGCACCAAATCTGAATTCAGGTCAGTGTCTGAAGCTCACAAAACATGAGTGAATGAACCTCTCATCTCTCACAACCAGTTTTTTCTGCTACGGTGAGAGTAAGAGATAACCCCCAACTCATGACATTGCTGGAGGATTAAACAAGGTTTCCCAGCCTGCACTGTACTCACCCACTCGCACTTGCATTTCCAACCATAGTGTGAACATCCCAATACATCTAAGTACGATTGTGTCGCTCTTTTGCTTAAAACCCTGCAAGGTTCTTTTTATCCTCAGATGAGGACATTTTTAAATTGCTTTGAGAGAGAGAGAGAGAGAGAGAGAGAGAGAGAGAGAGAGAGAGAAACATCAACGCGAGAGAGAAACACTGATTGGTTGCTTTCTTGCATTCATCTCAACTGGGGATTGAAATCACAACCTCGGCATGTGTCCTAACTGAGGATCAAACCTGCAACCTTTGGGTCCATGGGAAGACACTCCAACTGAGCCACACTGGCCAGGGCAAGGCTCAAGCTTCTTAACTAGCACTCTAGTGACCCCTCGATTCTGTCCATGATCTGACTCCTCCACTACCTCGTTTCTGGGAGCTGCCCACCTTGGTCTGTGTTCAAGGCTACTGAAGTAGATTTGCAGCTTCAGGAGAAAGCTTCTCTCTCATTTCTGTGTCTTTGTCTGTGCTGCTTCCTCTGCCTGGAACACTCAGAACCCTCTTGGCTATTCAGCAAACATTTTTACTTATTCATAGGTAAAAATTCAGCTCTAGCATTACCCCTTTTGGAAGCCTTTCCAGACCCTACACCCAGGAGAGTTGACCACTCCCTCTCTTGCCTCCCACCTGTCCCTGTACCATCTCTTGGCAACAGCACACAGAGCACGCACTCATGCATTGGCTTTCTCCATGGGAATGTGAGCTCTTTGCACCCTACTCATCTCTGTGTCCTCAGAGCCTGACAGGGGCCCTTGCACAGGAGGTGGGTCAATGCTGTGGGTAGGGTTGCTATGACCCCTTCAAACCCTCCATTCCAGATACATTTCCTTGGACCCTGAATGCTTCTCTACATGTACATAGTACAAACACGCAAGGCCTTGGCACCTTGATTCTTCTTAGGGCCAAGTTGAGATTCTTGATAACCATAATAGCTATTATTTACTAAGAGCCCAATGGGTAGGAAATACTCATGGTGCTGGTCTCGAGGTGAGTCCAGGGGGTACTAGGTGCTCCTCACATTAAGTGAGAGGTTGTGCTTAGAGAGCATTTATGGGATGGATAAATGTAGTAATGGTTCTTCTTCCTATCACATTGCTCACAGGTGCCCACAGGGAGGCCTGAAAGGCCAGAGGGCTCTAACATCTCATGGTAGGGGCTTCTCATGCACCAGGGAGACCCCTGAACTGCCAAGTCACTACCCCTCTTTTCACTGGAGCCCAATTTTCAGCTTCCATTCAGATTAAGTTTAAGCTTTGACTCAGATATTGTCTTTAGCCTGTTTTGTATCTTACTGATGGGTAAAAAAATGATGAAATATACCATTTAGCATTTAACTCTGGGAACATCTGGAGTGTGCATATGTGTGATGGGGGGGAGGGTGGGGTAGAGAGGATGGAGAGAGGGAGAGAGAGAAACCCCAAAACCCCCAAAATCTGAGTTGATGAGCAGGTAGAGTAGGCCACTCTCATATAGTGAAATCACTGATAGAATGGACTTCTTTTTTTCCCACACATAACAAACCTTCTTTTGTATAACAAATTGCACCAAGGCTTTGTTCAGAATACAGAACCAGTATCCTATTATTCTTAGCATGACAAATACACTTAAACATGTCAGTTTCTCGTGGGAACTTTTGTTGAAGTCAGCTGCTTGGTTTCACAATAATTTGAAGTGAGTCATTGATATTATTTTATCGGATGTGCGCAATTACTCCAACGGATGTTCCTCATTCAATAGGCATGTGACAAAGAGACGGTCAGCATTATGTGGCTTTATAGTCCCTGTCATATTAATGATCAGGGAATCAAATGTAACTGTCACTTACCTGCAGCCAGGCACACAGAAACATCCCAGGGCGGCCCAGAGGAGGAAGAGCCCGGCCGGCACCCCGCAAGCCCATGTCCTGGACATCTTCATTTCCCCTCTGCAACAGGACATCCAGCCGAGGCGCCCGGATCCATGAACAGCCTGCACAGGCAGCATGGCCGCCAGCATCCGTCCCACAGAGCAAACAGCTCAGCAGTACAAACAGACCAGTGACAAGAACCCCTTAGACTTTGTACAGACAGAAATCCTGCCTGTAACTCTGGAAAGCAATGACAATGACAAAAAGAATCCAGCTCTGCAGAAGCTTGGTTTTTATCCACATGTAACGGACTTTTGGGAAGCAGCTGAGAGGGCAGTCTGCTAGTGGTGCAAGGACTGTGGGCTCTAAGTCCAGGCTGCCTGGGTTCAAATCCTTTCTTTAAAAAAACTTTTTTCAATTACAGTTTACATTCAATATTGTCTTCCATTGTTTTCACGTGTAGAGCATAGTGGTTAGATAATCATATACTTTACAAAGTGTCCCCCCAATATTTCCAGTACCTACCTGGCACCATACACAGTTAGTACAACATTACTAACTATATTCTGTATGCTGTACTTTATAGCCCCACGACCTTCGTAACTGCCAATCTGCACTTCTCAATCCCTTTACCTCTGTCAGTCCCCCAACCCCTCCCCTCTGGCAACCATCAGTCTCTTTTCTGTGTCTGTGAGTCTGCTTTTGTTTCATTTGTTCATTTGTATGGTTCTCTAGATTTCACATATAAGTGAAATCACAGGGTCTTTGTCCTTCTCTGACTAACTTATTTCACTTAGCATAATACCCTCAAGTTCCATCTAAGTTGTCACAAATGGCAAGATTTTGTTCTTTTAATGGCCAAGTAGTATTCTGCCAGATATATGTACCACAGCTTTTTATACATCAAGCCCTTTCTTTGTCACTTACTAGCTTTGTGACCTTAAGCAAGTTCTATGCCTCTCTTTTGCTCTATGCCTCAACTTCCTCACTTGAAAAAAGTGATGAGGATTCAGTAAGTTGACCTACCTAATGAGCCCAGAATAGGCCTGTGATGCGCACCCAGACACCTGTACGTACCAGGTGGAATACAGGGCTAGAGTCAGGCCAAGTTTTGAATTCCACTTCTGCCTTTTTGTAGCTGACCTTGAGCAGGTCAGCAAGGGGCTGAGGAGCTCTGGAGTCCATCTACTTGGGTTCACATTCTCTGTGTATTTCACCAGCTGTGTGACCTGAGGCATATTATTTATTCACCTCTCTGGGCCTGAGCTTCGTCATTTATGAAACAGGGATAACAACAGTACCCACCTCATGGGGCTGCTGTGAAGGTTAGATGAATCTAAGTACTTCAAACACTTTGAAGTGTGCCTGGCACATACTCTGTGCTCTCTCTATAAGGGACTGTCTGTGGTTCTGTTTCCTCATACATGAAATTGAAAGGGTTACGCCTACCTCTCACTCAGAGTTGGGAGGGTCATATTAGATACTAAATGTGAGAATGTTCCACAAGCATGTATTATAAAAACAAAAAGCGTAAGATATTAAGTGCCCAAATATGGGTTGTTGTTGTTATTATATAATTTAGGTGGAACTTCCTTGTGTTTAAGGAGAAATAGATCACTTCCCTGACCTTGCTGGGAAGTGAAGTGTAGTAAACAATTAGTATTTGATGAATTTAACATTTGTTGCCAGTAATTGCTGGTCACCCTAAGGGCCACATTAAAGGTCAGAGGAGACCCCTTGTCTTTCCTCTGGGTTGAACATAGAAGAGACAGGTGCCACTCAGGCATGGTGAGTAAGACTTGTATTTGAGCCTAGAAGTGTACCTCTCCCTCATCTTTTCATTGTTCTGAATAGTTCACCCATTCTGTGTGGCCTCACTGCTAAACAGGATTTAAAGGAAATGTCACACTAAGGTTCACTTGAAATGCCTTAATCCAAGCAAATGTTCACCTCGGTGCCTCTTGAACTAGTTCCCACATTGTTTGTGACCATATGTCAGATGGGTGTCTTCCCATTTTCAGTTCCTGAGTGGACAGGGAATATCAGTCCTGATTTCCAGCCTGGAGATGGTACCTACCCTGACTGTGTGAGGCACATGGGAGTCTGGTATGAAAGAAGCAGGGTGCAAACTCGAAGGCTGTACATACATGGTGAGGCTCTCAAATGAACTTCCCTGAAAACCGTCATTGTCTGCTCAGAATCAGCAAATTGAAGTCCAAACTGCACTCACCTGGCATTTGTGAAAGTGATCTGTGATTCATAAAGGGCTGTATGAACTTGGTGGGTGGCTGTTGGTGAGGAGCCTTGGAGGGGAGAGCAGCAGGCAACTTGTGGGTGGGCTGGAAGAACAACACAGACTGTATTTGATTTCCTTAAACAGGCTCTCTAACTTCTCTAAGACTCAGTTTTCTCATCTGTGACATGGGGATAAGAATTCATTCATGCCCACTTCATAAGGTTGTTCTGAGATTTGACTATATAAAACACTTCAAGCTCTTATTTCCTGACCCAGGTTGGTGTTCTCTTGAGTACAGCTCAACCCCCTGTCCAGGCATGTCTTCCAGAGTACTGGGCTGCGGCTGGGAAGGGGGTGGATATAAAGTCTTAGCGGGCAGGAGTCCCTTCCCATTAATTGTGCCAGAACCTGGCACACGAGGTCTGCTCTCAGCCCATGCTGTGTGCATTCAGTTATCATTAGCCCCAGCACAAGGCACCATCTCACTGTTGTCCCAAAGGAGGCAGTGACTTGAACTTTGACACAATTGATTGCAATAGTTAATCATTTGTAAACAAGCAGAAAATTGCATTTCCAGATAGATTCATGCCTCCTCTCATGTCTGCCTGCATTTAAGGAAAGCCGCGTCCTCCCAAGATAGGGCTTCTTTTCCACTTCTTCGACCTGAAAGACTCAAGGACAAACTTGAAAATTTTAGATGTTTTTAAAAAAAACCTCACCCAAGGATATATTTATTGATTTTTTTAGAGAGAGGGGAAGGGAGACAGAGAAACACATGTGTGAGAGAAACATCGGTCGGTTGCCTCTCGTATGCACCCTGACTAGGGATCAAACCACAACCTAGGTGTATGTCTTGAGCAGGGATTGAACCTGTAACATTTTGGTGTATGAGATAATGCTCCAACCAACTGAGTACCTTGGCCAGGGCAGGAGCCTTCTCTCTCACCTCCAGATATTTTGTGCATGCTCTTTCTCTTGCCGAAAATATGTCACTTAGTTAAATATGACTCATTATTTAGATTTTATACTAATGCCAATTTCTCAAAAGAGTTTTCCTGACTGACTCTCCTGGGGTTCTTTGGTTCCAGGCTCCAGAAGTCCAACCTCATAGCGCCCCCTGGTGGTGTCAGGTGCCACTCCCCTAAAGGTCATGCCAGGAGGCTGGCAGCCTTAGGATGCAGTGCTAGCACACATAGTTTTCAAGGGCAGTTCTTAGCAGTTTAACAGTTTTTCCCATACATCATCTTGTTTGGTCTTGACAATAACCCAACAAACTAAGTACCATCCTCCATGTCTCTGAGATGGGGTTCCAAAAATCTGTAATCAGGTACAAGATTTGTTTTTTTGATTTCTAAACTCACTCTTTTTCCTTCCTTCCCTCCCTCCCTTCCTTCTTTCCTTCCAAGACATTACCTGCTCTTAGGAAGTTCCAGGACTGATTAGGTCTAGCACAGCCTCACCACTCCTCTGGTCTAGCTGCTCTCACTAAAGGCCATAGCTCTGTTCTCTGGCTATAACACAGATTTAAAGTGATCATACCTCTCTAGGCCTTCAAATTGTATGTCAGAATTAGAAGTTCTAGGTCAATGGGTTGCCTAGTAGTTTATTATTTCTCTAGCCTTTGATAACTAACTTTCTAGTCCCCACTAAGTTATGTGATCACACAATGCCACATGGTTTAGGCCTTTGTTATGGCAGCACTCCACTCCCGTTCCCTATTTTTGTATGAGTTAGCTTTTGCTGCATAACAAATAATCCTCAAACTTAGTCACTTAAAGCAATAGCCATTTTTTAGCTCATAGTTCACTGGGTCATCAGTTAATTCTGGGCTAAGATGGGTGGTTGTGCTGGTCTTTCCCAGATTCACTCATGCAACCTGTCCTGATTGACACACTCTTGTGTTACAAACTTTGGTGTGTGTTCACCTTTTCTTTTCCTATAGAAAAAATCTATATCTTTCCTTGGATTCTTGAAAGGCTCAGAGATTCAAAAGAAGTCAGAATAAAATAAAATAAAAAGTAAAAATTACCTCAAGAGATATAAGCTTTTTTCTTACAAAATTCTCTGTGATTCCTTTGAAGGTAGTGGGGAATAGTCTTTAGCATTTCATTTCTCCCATTTTTTATTTTCTATCCTGGAAAAGTCCCCTAATCTCTCAGAGCAGTGGTTTCACTAGTTTAAAATGCAGGGTCCTTGAAATAATGCTCCAATAACCATTTAATAAGAGCCTACTAGATCCCAGACACAATGCTAGGTGGCTGGGTATGAAGATGAAAATGTAATAGACCTTCCTTTTCAGAGCTGATAGCCTGGTGAGGGGGTGGAAACAGTAATACATCAGGGCGGCACAGTGTGATGAGCTCAGTCAAGAGATCTGCAGAGTATAGTTTGGCTGTAGCCAAATGTGAGTGCATGTGACTGTCTGTTTGTGCATGGTCATTGGGGAAGATGTCTCAGAGGCAATGTTACAGCTGGCCTTTACAGGGTGAGGAGGAGCTAGCAGACCAAAGAACCAAAGGAAGGGTGTGCATTATAGGGGAGACACGAGCAAAACCCAGATACACAGGTGAGAAATCATGTAGTATTTGTGGGGAATTGTAAGCCATTCCATGTTGCGGGAGCACAGGTTCAACCTGAGTAAGTGGGAAGAAATGAAACTGGAGAGGCAGGTGGGAACCATATCACATAGGGGCTGATGGGCAGTACTAACGATACAGGTTTTATTCTAAGTGCAAGGGGGAGCTATTAGAGTGTGTTAGGAGGAGGAGGAAGGGGGCAGCTTTCTTTGTAAGAGAGATTACTCTTTCTGCTGTGTAGAGAATGGATTAGAAGGAGGCAAATTGGAGCGGAGAGACCAGTTAGGAGGCTGTTACAATAGTCCACTGAGAGATGATGATGGCCTGAATTAGGGCAGTGGTAGCTGGCATGGAGAGGAGGGCATAAACATAATATCTGTCTTCTGGTGTACAC